TGTTTTTTTTTTTTTTTTTTGTTTGTTCGCGCAGTACTCCGCCGTTTGTGGACCGATTTCGAAAATTTTTGTTTTGTTTGAAAGGGTATACTCCCGAGATGGTCCCATTTCCATGAAGTCAGGATCTGATGATGGGATCCTAGGGAAACCGAGGGGAACTTTCGAAAATTCTATGGGGGAGTAATGCGTCTATTATGTTTTTCAATTACGAATTTTGAACACTACAATTTAATAAGGGTCTGGAGTCGACCTGATGATGGAGTCGACAGACAGTCGAGGGAACTCCTCAGCGGTTTATATTAACTACCTTGTGTTTGGGCTTGATTAATTTGTATTGATGAGGACTTTACACCTAGATAGAGTGGGGCTGTCATTAAGGGTCTGATGATGAAGAAGTGTAATTGTTAAGGGAACTCCTCAACGGTATACAGTAATTACCTTGAGTTTGGGCTTGATTAATTTGTATTGATGAGGACTTTGCACCTATGTATATTATAAGTAACAAAACGGGTATATGTAGCTTTACACTGAAAATGGTAAAATAATAAAATAAAAACTGCGTTTAAAAAACCGACTTCAAAAACCAAAAACTAATAACAAACAAAAAGTCAATACTAAAAAGCAAAAAATAACTATTATTAGTACTGATAGGTTACCTACCCACTGATAGGTTAGAAGTCGGTGCCATAAGCTCATATCATAATGATATAACTTAATGTCCACAAAATTGTGAATTAGATACCTATTAAGGTTTTAAGTAATGAATAATTGTGTTGTCTACTCAAAATAAATTGTGTATTCATTGCATAAGGTTCAGAGTGAAAACAACCATTGAAAAGTCATATTCCTTCTACTTTCAATAAAAGAATTCGTTTCAGATTTATTTCAAACCATCTACTTTGAATTCTGTCATAATGATCGGAAGACACAAATTCTTTAAATCCATTGCGATTAAATTCCAAGCCATTAATTCTTGACAACAAAGTCAAACTCATCGCAGTATGACCTTGAGACGGGTTTGTATGAGACTGACAAATTGATGCGGACAAGTAAATAACAAATAAGATCCTAACGACTATTAGGTAAAGTGTGTATGTAATTGAAGTAAAAAATGACGGCAAAATTGCTAAAGCTGGTCATACAAAGACACATGCGAAACGTAACTTAATACGCTTTTGGCATTTGTCGATAATAATATATACACCTTTGATTTTCTTACTATGGAACAGATACTGTTCCGTATGAAATGAAAACAGGATAGTCTCGAGTTTAAAAAAAACGATTAACGACCCTCTTGTTTTAAATTGCTATGTCATTTGAAACTCATTCAAAAACACTTTAAAAAACTCGAATTGGTATTTCAATATTTAGAACTTTTCCTTTCAGTCCTGAATTTGCATTATCTCAATATCATCAAGCTTTTATCTTTCTCGCTTTCTGTTTATAGTATCAAATCCGAATTTAAAATGAAACTAAAATCTTAAAAGGTTATTTAGAAAGGGTAAATATATTCTTCGTAACCTAGTATGTGTGGTATGTTTCACATCCCTAGTTGGTACGAATACGATGAAGTTATAAGTCCGCCCTGAGCCATCGAAATGGGTCGGTGGCTCGGCGCTCTTGCGTGTCCCGCCCCGTTTCAGTTTCGCGGTCGACTTTGGTGGAGCTAGTTCGGTTCCGATGTGCCTCAAAATCCAAGGACGGTTTCAAGGCATTCCGTAATAAGTAACAGTAAAGTTTCTGTGAGAATATCGTGCTAAATTCAATGGTTTAGTGGGATTATTTTTGCTTTTCGTTTTGTTTTGGATGTACCTAAGTGCAGGCTTCGTCCTGGAAGTTTTGAAGTCTGTGGGTAAGTTTAGTGATGAATGCTTGCTATTTTTAGAGTGATTTATAACTTTGGCTCTAGACTCCTACTTATCAATTGATTCATCTCGTCTCGTCATATTCCTATTTCTTATGATCGTCAATTTTAGAATTCTCCGTATTCACTACTCATGTTCCACTGCTATATTATACAGGTATCTCCCTGCCTTCTCAGTCATCATAGAACAAACCATAACATCACAAGCAGCTCGCTTGATCTAATAACTTAATACATTGCGAGTTTCCACAACAAGGGTATGCAGTTTACACTTTACAAACGATAACATTATGTTATCATTGACGCACACGATTACAGTAATCGATGCAACACATCGTTAAACTTTCACTAACGTATCCAAGTACCAATTTACTACACTTCACAGTACAGCTTAATAGCAGCGGTGAGTCGTGGAACTATGGATTCCTCACGTGCTACTGTATTAGGTGCGCTTTTGGCATGTCCTCTACTCTTTCCGCGGGTATATTAAGAAGGTAGATTACAGTTGAGACTGTTTATACTGAATAGCAGCACTCTGCTTTCAGCTCAAAGTCGCTCAACGTGCGATGGAGAGAGCTATACTCGGGGTTTCTTTGCGCGACAAAATCCGAAGTATAGAATTCGCCAAAGAACTAGAGTTACCGACATAGCTCGCAAAATCTAAAGACTGAAATGGCAAATGGCAGTCGACGTACTGACGATAGTTCGTGATTGGATACCACGCACCGGAAGACGAAGCGTCGGCAGGACACCCACTAGGTGGACCGACGACATCGCCAGAGTTGCGGGGAGCCAGTAGATGCAGGTGGCGAGTTATCGTTCGACGTGGAGGACTAAGGGGGAGGCCTTTGTCCAGCAGTGGACGTCTTTCGGCTGTTGATGAGGAGCACTCTTTGATAAGGCTGAACGTTTTAAACTGCGAGATTATAGCAAACCCTTCTTAAGAAGAAGAGGCCCACAGATCATCAATGGATGGGTTTTTAATGATAATGATATATTTGCGCTAGTCTACAGAGAAATAATATAGTGGTAAAGATAAACGCAATATTTGGAGACGAATGGGCAGCATAAAAATATTTATGACATATCAGTCATTACCGTTATAAGTACAATGAAACAAACACAAGTTTTATTAACACTTAAAAATGACTGCCTCGTTGGCCGAGTGGTCGCAAGTGTGACTGCCGGGCAAGGGGTCTCGGGTTCGGGCAAAGTATTACTGTTTTTTTTTAAATTCTCAGTAGTAGCACGGAGACTGAAATTGTGCCCGGTATACGGCAATAGGCTCACCCCGTATTACATGGGACTCATAACATAAAAATGTGGGTGTTACATTGTACAGTGGCATAATGTACACCTCTGCCTACCCCTTCGGGGATAAAAGACACGATGTCATGCTATGTTATGTAACACTTAAAATTAAAAGAAACATTCGAACACACCAAGATGAAAATTTCCCAAGAAAATCGTGTGTTCTTGGAACAATCGCGTTACTGTCGCGCCATCTCCGGCCATGCGGTCGCGTGCCTGTTTTTGCTTGCATATACAGTATGCACATAATGTGTCGGTCAATTAATTGAGCTGTTAGTCTCGCTACGATTAATTCCCGATGCTCACGCCTCAATCACTCACAACACAACTGGTATTTACATGCTGTTGACATTGGACGTTTCGTTTTTATTAAGAACTTGTATAGTTTCGTTTCAATGAGCCGTTTGATTTGAACATTCTTAGTTGGGGTGGATTCTACTTGTATCCTTAGATTTTTGAGGATCGGATGTCTTGTTTTCAATATTATTATTGGTATCTAAAGAAGGTACCTGGCTGAGCTGATTTCAAAGTCGTGTCTGACATTTTGAGTATAGGATTGTGTCGAAGGACCACCACTATGTCTTTGGTAAAGTTAAATGAGATTTTGTAATAGCTAGGGCTTCAGTGAATAAATAAATAAATGCCTTTGATGCCTTAAGTCTTATGTTACTATACAGGTAGATAGAAAATAAAGAGCACCGTCTATGTCGTCCTATCCATACATCTTTAGCTTCCATCACATTCGAGATGCGTTAAACCATTAATGGTGATTTTTTTAAATAAAATTACCTAATATAGAATTGTAGGAGGTTCTAAGCGTAGGTTTCATAAAGGGAAGGTCAAGTCCCAGTCAAACCAGAAAAGCCACAAAGATCATTGTTGGAATTACTTAACCTGTTTTGTAGCACTCCACTGATTTCCAACATGTTTCCATTCATTGTCACGTAATATGAAACCTTTTTGGTGGTTTTGTTTACTTACTGGCTTCTCGGTTAGAACGCTACCGTGTTACCCAACTTTCAAGGTACAGGTGCTAGAGTTGAAACAGTATAAGGGCCTATAAGTACGGCGTTTTTTTAACGCGACAACGCAATATTCGGCTATTATAATGACAGTAATAACCATCAAGTCAAGTCAAAGCATTTATTTCAATTAAACCATAATTTGGTACTTTTGATACGTCAACAAATATAAAATAAATAATAGTCTGTCGGTCAGTCCGTTAGTGAAGCTAGGTGCTCATTCCAAAATGTAGATTCGAATGGAGAAGAACGAGCAAGAAACTCCATTCCTTACTCTTTTTAATACAGTATGTTCTACAATGTCTCTGACTGATACATATTCTAATACTGTACGTATATGTGAGAACAATGCAAAGACACGCTTGACGCATTATAGGTACTAATTACAAAACAACATCTTATACGATATTCCATGAGTGACCAATAGGATAGAACGAAATACATTTAATCATACTATACATGTAAATGTAAAAATTATGATAAATGTAATGTTTAAATATAAATAAATAAATAAATGTAGTGCTAAGTAGTCTCCCATCTGTCGCTGAAAAGTCAGTTCTGATTTCTGAATGTGTAACTCAGGGTCTTAAGAACGTGCACATTTCACGTACGCGTGTGCAAAGATTTAGGGATCATTACATAATATCTGGGTAGCCACAATGTACCAACACTAACAGTAATATAAAACGTAATTTGTACGAACTGTCTGGCACCAAGTTTATCGCGTACTTATATAAGGGTGGTGCTTCCAACAGGCACTTAATGTTATGTTAATTACATAGATATTCTATGTCTCGTTCCAGCGCTACGTAGGTCTGCCAGTGATGCTGAAGGCGGGCGAGTACTCCCCCAACAACCCGCTGGTGCGGGGCGAGCGCGCGGCGGGGGACGCGCTGCTCGGACTCGGCGAGTACGAGCGACGGAGGAACACGCTGCGGAAGATTCGACAGCAACAGTACAGGGAGTATCTTGATCAGGTACCTACTGTCTAAAATATTTTATTTATTTACTACTAGCTCTTCTTAAATCCCCAGTCCCTAAAAGACCAGTCGACAATCCACGTGAAACTTCTTTCGTGCTGCGTGTGTCCATAGGTGATGCCGATTTAGTTTCAATATTAATTTAGAAACTAAGTATTCAAAACTCCGCTAAGTATACATTTTTAAGAATTTAGACAATGGACTAGGTTATGTCTTAAAATTGCGATCAACCACTGAGAAATGTACAGCAGGATCCTCTAAATTTTCTGTGACCTGACCTCAATTTATTCATTTTCGAAGTCTTCCAACTGATAGTGGCTACTTTCATATGTCCTCGACATAATCACAAATCTTCATATTTGCTACAGCAAGCCAAAAAGAAACAAGAAGCCAAGGAACAAGCAGAGAGGGAGCGTCGCGAGAGAGAGCAGAAGGAGAGAGAGCGAGAGGAGAGGGAGAGGGAGCTACTGCAGGAGCGAGAGAGATATAGCGCCGAGCGACGACGGAGTGTGCAGTGTATACCGGACTCGACCGTGTATAATAATAAGTATGTATATACAAACTTAAACTGCCTCGTTGGCCGAGTGGTCACAAGTGGGACTGCAAGGGATCTCGGGTTCGATTCCCGGGTCGGGCAAAGTATTACTGGGTTTTTTAAAATAACAGTAGTAGCACGGAGTCTGGAAATGGGCCTGGTGCCGTAGCCTATTGCTATCAATAGGCTCACCACCTATAACATGGGACTCATAACATGTGGAACATGGGACATGGGACAATAACAACTATACGTTGTTATTCTATACGTTTGGCACAGGTGGTAGGTAACCAGCTGTTGTGTAATTTTTTGCGGTTTTAATTCCCACACGGAACAACTTTTTGTGTGATCCACAAACTGTTGTTTCGAGTCCGAGTCTGTGTGTGTGTATTTGTATGTATTGTAGACGCATCCATGACACAGGAGAAAATCCTAATTAGTCCAATAGAGAATTTCCTAGTATCTGAATTATTAATATTATTATCTTTTTTTTAACTTTGCCCCACACTAGGATTTTCTCCTGTGTCGTGGGTGAGTTTACAAACATACAAGTTCACATACACATCACACCCAGACCCGGAACAACAATTTGTGGATCACACAAAGTGTTGTTCCGTGCGGGAATCGAACCCGCGACACGTTGCATGGCAGCCGGTTGCTCAGCCACGGCACCAACCGTGCAGTCAGTATTGGACATGGACAGTCAACTTGTCAACAGCTGTGGTGATTGAACAAATAGGACCTCATATTTCATTAACGGCATCTAGTGAGCACAAAAACGTTAGCCTTCGTTACTTAAGTTGAATTTGAATATCAATGCGTGGTTGTATAAATGAAGTATAATGTTTGTTTCAGTAAAGTGGACATGGGCGTGCAGGTGGACGGGTTCACGTGTCCGCTCTCCGTCGCCGTACAAACTGATGACAACGAGATGTTCCGGGTAACGTACTTTTATTTATTGATTTCATATATTAACTCGTCGAGTACCGGTTTTATAGACACAATTAAAGAACAATAGGTCGCGGTCACCGGTGACCGCTTGGTGTTTGACAGATTAATTTACGTTAAGTAAACGTTAAGTATGGTCAGAAAGGCTTTTGAGATAAAATAAAGAAAGATATAATTAGAAGTAGATCACAATATAAAATACAATAAGATCAAAAAATATCAATCATTAGAAAGAAATGAAAGGGACAATTTCCAATTCGCACAGAATGTTTTAAAGTTAAAGCTGAATGTTTGATTATGAGTTCGTATGCGCTTTCAAAGTTTGGTTTTCTCGATGATTCACCAGTAATTTTGTTTTAAACATTTTATTTATTTGTATTACTAAAACAGAACACTTTTACTTCGGGACGAAAACGAGGAAGATTTCACAGTGTACCTATAATTATGTATGTTAATACGTATCGTTCTATTGTAGTTGCCAGGCTCCGGTAAGTCCCAGCTAACTGAAGCAGAGCGCGAGCTGTCCCCGCGCACTGCCGGCCCGCATACTGGCTGGATACACGAGAGACGGCGGAGCTATGGGGACTATGACGGTAATAACATATCTTAATTATTCTGTTTTCAGCTTAACTCACGTAACTGTTTGACGAGAAACTCGACTAGTTTCAAGCCATGTTAGAGGCTCATGTTCATGAGTAGTATTCCTTGGCCCGCGACGCGGCGACAGTCGCTGCTACTGGGCGCTCGGCGGCGGCGGTGGCAGCGCGGCGCCTGCCGGGAGTCCGGCGCACTGTCCTCTACCCGGGGTGTCGGCGGCGCGACACTGATGCCAAGTTAGGCTCGCTTGCCGGCGGCTGCGTAGATGTTGGGTTCGAATCCCGGGTCTACGCACAGTGTTGCACGCCGCGTTCACTGTGTCACACTCCAGTCACTGTAGTCTAACGCAGATTTTCTACGATCTAGGTAGAGAACGGTCTATGTTCCTACACATTGCAGATTGTGGAAGTATTTTTTTTAAGGGGGGAAAATCATCGAATGACTGCTCCCGCCTGGGTGAGGCGGGAGGGAGTGTCAGACTCTTATTGACTAAAAACCACCCCGTTCCTACTCCTGCACTAGATTGTGGAAGTATAAGATTACTTTCACAGCTTGCAATTACTTCTATCGTATCTTAAAACTTCAATGAACATACATCACCCCAAATTATGCCCATAATCTGCAGTTACTTCTGTTTCCTAAAACCCTAATAACTTCGAGATCGGCCGGTTGTAAGTATGCATCCAGTAACGTCTTCCTGCGACCTCTATCAGTGCTTCCAGCCATTATATAACACTAGCTTTTACCCGCGGCTTCGCTCGCGTCACAAAAGGATAAAAGTAGCCTACACCAATACACACAGCGCCATCTATACCAATTTTTTGTTTTCCCTCGTGAATACAAAAATTTTCCGGGATAAAAAGTACCCTATTATTTAATCCGGACTTCTAATTTTACGTCTGCAAAAATTCAAAGCAATCGGTTTAGAAGTTACGGCGTGAAAGCGGAACAAACAAACAAACTCACTTTCCAATTTATAATAGTAAGGATAATCAAATTATATGGAAAATGCCTCCTATCAAAAGAAAAAAGAGTGACCATTGATTACAACGCCACGGTTGCTCACTAGGCGGATTGACGATTTCAAACTATGGTCAGGTTTTCGATATTTTCCTTCACTATGTGTCAGTGATGTCAAAGTTGTGTATATTAGTGTCTACATAAATATTTGTTGTACTTGTAGAGCGTACATCGTCGCTAGTGAAGCAGTGTACACGCGACAAGTTGCAGTCGGAGCCGCGGTACTCGCGCTCTATATTCGACGCCGACGCCATACAACTGCGCAATATGCAGGCTGAGAAGGTAATAATACATAACTTCTAACTCATTAAAAGTTTTATGTAAAACCGTTTTTATCATCGACTAGCAAACCCGGCGAACACCGTTTCGCCGCCATGGCTTCGTTTTATGTAACTTTTCATTTGGTGATAAAAAGATGAAGAAAATTTTTTTTGTTTTATATTTTATAAACCTCGCGGAGCCCAAGACCGTTCCAACGAATGCAACACCGTGAAAATCGGTTTGTGCGTTCTAGAATTATAGCGTCATGAAGGAAAACCCGACTTATTTTTATATTTACTAATATTTTTTTTGACTGGAAAATTGAAATTTAACCTTATTACTTACAATTTAAAGATGGAATTTGGAAACATTACAGGAAGCAGCTGAACGTCGTCAGTTCTACCAACAGGAACTGAAGAACCAAATTCTAGAACAACAGAGAATTAGAGAGGAGAGGAAGACGAGGGAGAAGTAAGATTGTTTTTTTTATTTATTTGTTTGTATCCAAGTATAATAATATCTATCTCTAGAAAAAACACGTCATAAAATCGCTCTATTGTGACGTGTAAGAAAGACAAATGCACGCTTGCGTTTATCTATATAAATAATTAATTTCCGTTCGTTAGTCTCGCTAAAACTCGAGAACGGCTGAACCGATTTGGGTAAATTTGATCTTGAAATGTTCTTGGAAGTCCAAGGAAAATGTTTTGTCACCTTTTAAACCCTGAAAGGTGAGAAAAACATTTTTGCTGGGTGAGCTCATATTATATAGAACTTTATAACGCCGTAGGCTCGAGCCTCTGTGCCCGGTCCACGGTATTAAGCTGAGCTCCAGCCTTTTGTGCTGCGACGCACCATAGGCTTTTTTGTGTGTTCCTAAATTCTTGTTGTGTGTCGTAGCAAAATAAATGGTTTTTCTTTCTTTATAATGCAAGTCCATTACTGTATTACTATGAGCCAGCCTCTTCTATTCGTTAATATTGTTATTTACAATTTTCAGGATGCTAGAACAAGCGGAGATGCGTCGTCTGGAGGAACAACTAAGAATGCTCCGCGTGGCACAGGACCGGGAACTGAACAAGCAACACGATATCACTGCCGCCGTGAGTATAATGTTTGTTTTTTTTTTAAACGTTGCCCCACACTAGGATTATCTCCTGTGTCGTGGGTGCGTTTAGAAACATACAAGTTCACATACACATGACACCCAGACCCGAAACAACAATTTGTGGATCACACAAAGTATTGTTCCGTGCGGGAATCGAACCCGCGACACGTTGCACGACAGCCGGTTGCCCAGCTACCGCACCAACCGTGCAGTCGATATAATATTTGTTAACATTTTGTAGCTAAAAGAATTAATTAAGCACAGAATTAATTGTCTACTTGTATTGGCTATGTGCGCGACGGTGGCGACACGTAGCGTTTACAACATTTGCGGAAGCTGTCAAATAATAACAATGTAATTTTAATTTTCTTTGCAAATATAAATAAAATAAAAGATTACAATAGTATTGTTGACATTATTTAAGTGCAATTATTCAATAGTTTTACTGTAAAATGGATATAATAATAAAAACCGGGTTTGCATCATCCCCATTTGTTTCCAATTTCTGCCGTGTTGTGCGCTGCGATCGTTATCTGTCCGCCACTACTCGCTTTGCACATAGCCAATAATCTTAGCTATTAAGTAGTTTGTTATTATTTTTTTGTATGTATTGACGCTAAATATTTAACTTGCTGTGCTGTACTCCTTGAGATAACACCTTATTAAATTTCTTTCTTGCTGATTATTTTTTGAGTCCTTTCCTGCGAAGACCACGCTTTTACATCTATCGAGGGAATAAAATACTCAATGATAATAAAAAATACTCACATTTAAAATATTGAAGTTTGTTTGTAATAAGGTAGTTTGTGAAACTGTTGAAAAATGTGTGCATCTGAATTTCCATTTTCATTGTAATCAAAACTCTAGTATTCTTTACAGTATTATATTAAAAATATCAATATTTTCTTAACTGTTGTTAGTAGCTATCATAAATAGGGAGGATACTATCCTAAATTTTATTTTAATGTCTGGTAGAGTGTTTTAAAACATTAGACACGTATTTTTTCTTACAAAATTAAATACTTTTGACAATATATTGATTTTAAATATCGCGTGACATCACGATTTACTACATTTTATAGGGCAGCGTGGCGTAGCAACCTCCCACTCCTAAATTTAACTCCGTTTTATCTAAGTATTGTTTTCTTATACGACAAATTAAAAAAATATGTGTCTGATATTTTTTTATTATCTAACTGACGGACTAATTGCATTTGTAATTTTCATACCCTGTACCCTATTAACAACAAATTCTAAATTACAGATGAAAGAAAACGCGACAGAATACCACAGTAAGCGCACAGAACTACAAAGAGACATCGACATCGAACAGCGCAACCTCCGCGTCGCGCAGCCACGCAACACTCTACAACGGACCACTCCCACAACAGACACGAGCCCATCGAAACTACCATTCTACTACCCACGCGTACAGGAGAGAACTAACGAAATATGTGACAAGAAACCATACTCAATGAACATACCAGACACGTCTATATTCTCAGCTAACTACGACGTAGATTCATACTTAAGAAAGAACTTAAACTTCAATAAAAAGTACGACGAAATCTCAGAGAAACACGATCATAACAAGCTTATCGAAAAGGCTTTAGTTCACCATCCAGAAGAACGAGACCGTCCTGAAGTAACGCCGTCCTATAATAGTATAGAAAATATAGATAGTTTACCCATACCAGTGTTGCGGCATTCGCCTAAAATACCCGAAAGTGTCGATGACACGTCAAAAATGAGTGAAGCTATGAAGAAAGTTGATGACAAGTGGAAAGTGCCCGCTGTACAGAAGAATATATTGAAAGCTTTACCTAATGAAGAAGGGAAAAGCGTTAATATTTTAACTCAACTCGGTTCCATAAGGCGGCAATTACAACTAGAACAGTTAAAACTAGACAAAATGATCACTAATGATGATGTTTGAAATGTACATACGACTGCATGTCAAGTTATGCAAACCAGTATAAACTCACCGTGAATGTGTGGAGAGATCATACAAAACGAGTTCACGAAAAATTGGTTCTGTATAGCTCGATGGGTAGCCGTGTGTTGGTCATTGCGTGGAAACTAATCGAGTCAGGAACCTATAGAGGTAGACTGGAGGAAATAAGAAAGTACTGAATGGCAGCAAGGAATGATAAAGTGGTATAACTTGAAAATCATAGTTTAGTTACAGATAATGAAATAATATTGGACTTGTATTTTTTTGGCGTAATCAGACAAACCTGCTTAGTTAAAACGAGTTTGTAAGAGCTCACAACGTCTTTGCTTGATATGAAATGTACTAATGTGATATTCAATAACATTTCTAATACTTTTTTATAATAACTATCGTGAGACATACTAAATTAACTAAAAATCGTGGGTTACTCACGTGAATATATTGAGAAAAGCTCTACTAGTTTCGAACCACAGAGGGGTTCTTCCTCGTGAGCAGCGTGCGCGGTCGCGGCGATGTCGTGCAGCCTACAGCCTAGGCTGCATAGCATATTCGCGTGAGTAACCCGCGACGTTTAGTTAATTTCTAATACTGTAAGTAAATAATTACAGAAGAAAATGAAATAGCTACGAGTCCAATATTTTACATTCAGCTACTATAGTTGGGCCAATACAAAATGTCGGAAGTCAATTATCAGGTCTCTCGCTCACAGTTGGCGGGTTGTGCGACATTGTCACATTCCTTTACCGTGACAGTTCGCATGTTTAAATGGCATATATTTAGCCATCATTCCTTATGATAACAGTAAACGTTTAAGTTTAATTTAGAGATCAAATTAAAGGTAAACCAAAAGAATATAAATATGTTCCTAGCTTACGAATACAATAGAAAATCGACCTAATGACGTATGTAATAGTGTTAATAATCGCAATACATTAAAAAATGAAAGATCAATATTTTAGTTTTATGCGCACAAAGTGTTCATTTCTTAGCAGATCTCTTTGTATTTATTAGATTAACTTGGCTTCTAAACTAATATATCGGCCATTACTATTATATTTTTTATCGTATGAATATAAATAAATATCTTTTTATATGGATTTGTCTAGTATTGGTTCCTTAGATTTTACTCAAAATTCTAGTAAAACAATTTTTTAGGCGACGCAATGCAATATTTTTTAGGCGATTTCCTCTTAATAATTTTATAAAACCGACTTTGTAGTATTGCCATCAATAAAATGTTCATTTTTCACTCCATTCGTATTTGTTCATGATAATTATATTTTGTTTTGAATTGTATTCAATATTTGATATTTATATTATTGTGTTTGTTTTTATTTTATATTTTTAATTACGAAATGGCAAACTGTTTTTATTTCTGTAATATTATTTAATTCCGTTTTATTTTTAGCAGTTTTGATGGATGTAATTCTTATCTTATTATTCTCATTAATAATTGTAATAATTTTATCCCTATTTCGACGCTAATGTTAATCTATCAATATTATATCCAATATTATATCTCAAATTATTTTCAGTAAGAAAGGTGATACAAACTATTTTGAAGAGAAATCGAGATTTTAGTAATCCCTTTCTTGCTACTATTGCTAATAAATAATAATCTAAGGTCCAAATACTCAATCGCCGCCTTATTTTAAGTCGCGCTTAAGTATACTTCGTCAATCTATATATAAAAATGAAACCCGTTTCCCGTTGTCACGCCATAACTTGAGAATGGCTGGACCGATTTGATACATTTTTTTTTGTTTGTTTGTTATTGTCAGGAGATTCTTATGACAGAAAAAATGTTCTGAAAATCCTACGTGAATGGGAGAAACGGGATTGTGCGTACGAAGTCGCGGGCAGAAGCTAGTTCTTTATAAAATGACAGAGATGGCGCGATATTTAAGTACGACTTCAAATTGAGTAGCTTTTCAGTATTCGGGCCGTAAATATACTAAGGAATAATTAAAACAAAAATATATTCGTAATTATAATCTTACAATATAACAATCAATGAATAATTATTCAATTTAATATTTTACTCCAAGTACGTGCAATTGTTTTTGTTGTAAGTAGTGCCAAATATTTGTATCTCTTTGTTTTAGTTCAGTGCTAGCTTAAATGGGGCTACTGTATTTTTGCTCACCACAGATAGCGCTACTGTGGACTTCTCCTTCGTCCAATAGGGAATACGGTATTGGACTAGTCAAATTCAATACTTTTTCGAACTGTCAAAAACGATAGTTTTCTTTGAATTTTGTACGATACTTTAAATTGTGACGTCACGCTGCTTTAGCTTAAAACAGCGTACCTATTTCTTAAAAATTTGCTGGGAAAATACAAAAATTAATTTGGTCATAAAATCAATTATTCATTAAATGTGATTATTTTTTATATTTTATTGTATTGAACAGTCGAAGTAATTTATTTTTAATTAAGGAAAGTACCCAATTAGCCAGTCTCACACCATTGTACGTTCAGTTTCTGACAGCTGCAGTGATTGGATTAAAAGACTTTTAGATTACCGCCACCTAGTGAGCAAAGAAACGATAGCCTCCATTGAAACTCCGTTCATACTTACGAACTCATAGTAAACATAAAATATTTAATACCTTTAGCCTGTGAAGTGTCGGAACGTAGATCTACGCGAGACACGATATGTTTTCTATTGTCTTATATAGCGACAGACAAGAGGTTAAATGATTTTTGTAAATATGAACTGAATATATCGCATTAGAAATTATACACGACATATTACTCTAAAATCACATCTATACTCTTAGTAATAGACACGAGAATAGCTTTCTATAGTCAGTCATTAACTATTTATAGGTACCTATCTCTTTCACACAATTCATTTTCAGTAAATATTAGAAAGAGATGTATATAGGCAAGCTTGTCCAATACGAAGCGATGTTAATTTAAGTTTGTTATTCGCACAAATTTTGTATTTATAAGGTATCGAAAGACTGCATGGTAGTGTAAGGATCAGAGCTTGGCTAAGGAAAGTGAGATTAAAAGTAAGATATATATATAATATATAATTTTTATAATAGCTAAATATATTTTTACGTGTTTATGCTTAGTAAATGTTTTGCGGATGTCGCTGATCGAATGTTTTCTTGTGGTGATCATTTATTTCATTTAATTGTACATCTCTGATAATGAGAGAAGTAGACCTAATGCTGTCAACTTGGAAAGTTTTTTTGTAATAATGCTAACATGACGAAAATCGGCTGGCATTGTCATTAGAAATACAGTCGATTGTCCATAGCAAAATCTTGGTCCAAAAGTTTTTAGGATTAATTAATGGACCAAACCTGCTATCATAACAGTGCTGTTCGTTTGGTCATAAATTACACACCTGAACTTGTCTCGAAAATAAACTTAACTCTATGAAAACCGTACAATACATACTTCAGCCGATTTTGTTTTTCACGATTAATGTAAAATTATTTCCATCTAAAAAAAATTCTAAGCAAAGAAATTAAGTAAGAAAATATCTATTTGTTTCGCCTTCGTTAAAACATTTCGTTTAGTGACTTTCTAAGCAAGTTTTATTTTATTGTTTGCACGTTAATCATAGTTTATTGCGAGTCAATAGTAGGGAGCATCCGGTGGCCTATCATAGTTCAAAATAAGCGTAACGTTGATGACTTCAATGTTTTGTAAAATGTTAAACAATCTCCACTATTCCATTTCTGTATTACTAAAACTGAGAATAACGATAATTTCGATTGCAGAGTTCTGAATTTCTTTAATAGATTTTCAACCTTATCTGTTTTTAATTAGGTTGAAAATTTATTATTAAATCTTCTGATTTAGCAACCGATTTGTGCCGCGAAACATCTAAATGTTATATTCAGTTGTTGTGGATAGTTAGCTCGAAGTCATTGAATGAAATCACTTCGCTTTACAAACGTCAGTTGTGTAAATGTAATTTTAATAAAATGTTCCAATTTATACATTTGTTTGTTTCATTTCATTCATCTTTTTCCTAACGTAGGACAGGACAGGTCCGGATTGGATGGTTAAAACCCATTTAAAACAATAGATTTTTATTAATTTAATAATGATGAGATGGTGCTTTCTTAAATCAAGGTAAGTACCAAGAAATATATACCTACCTAAAACAAAAGGGCACAATACACAGAATGTGTATGTTGGCTGGGGTCACGGCAGTGCCAAGTCGAGCGCGAAGCAAAGACTGCCGTCCTATCCTTTACTGAAATGAAATACTGGAATACAGGAACCATTTCGCGGCATTTTCAGGCCCCTATTACAGAAGTTCTGTTGAACCTCTGGATAAGACCACGCAGATAATTTTCATCATCCAGTAAGCTATAATCACATCTTAATATCCAAAATCTGTACCTAGGTCATTAATATAGTTCCAAAGTTATGCGAAAGCGAGTGGACGCAAGTGCGACTGCCGGGCAAGGGGTTTCGGGTTTGATTCCCGGGTCGGGCAAAGTAATACTGGGTTTTAAAAAAATCTCAGTAGTAGCACGGAGTCTGGAAATGTGCCCGGTATATGGCAATAGGCTCACCCCCTATTACATGGGACTCATAACATAAATAGTGAATAGTGGGTGTTACATTGTACAGTGACATTAAGTGCCGTATGGTGCACATCTGCCTACTCCTTTGGGGATAAAAAGGCGTGATGTTATGTTATGTAATATTTTTGGTTGGATAATTATTACAAGTTAGGCCTCCAGGCCAAATGTGAGCTCTATTCGTACTCGACAAGTTTCGATTGTATGACATATCGAAACGAGCAGCATTTTCCAACGGGATCTTTAGACAAGGCCGATTCTAGCTATTCAATGTTAATTAGTAGGTTTTTTATAAAAAGTTGGGTTTGAGATTTATAAACGGGCCCGTTCTACCCCAAGCCCTCAAGTTCATTTTCTGCCCCATTCCTCAATCAGCAAATATACTTTATCCGGTATGTATCTATAGGGGGGTACAAAAACATCGTTATTTTTGAGCTAGGACTTCTAGATTTCGAGATATTGCGTGATTTGTAGGTGGTCTCGAATCTGGATAAGATCAGGAAACAGATTTAAAAGTTGAGCTTTAGACCTGAAGGAAAGGTAGCATACGAAGAAAAATACAGCACTAATAAAAAAAACTTTTATTTACAAATTTTGATATTTATCCAAAAGAAATATTCATCTTTAATTTTTTCCATTACATCCTACATTAAAAACCCGTACTCATTTATTAAAATGTAGGCATGTAATCTATGGCAACTAAAACAATATTTATAGCTCCCGTAAAGAAGTACGACTTTTTATAATTTAAAAGCACTAAAATAAATTAACCTTAATACGCGGTCGACAGATTTATAGGACTATTATCTAATAGTTGAAAATACAGTAACAATCTAAAATACTAGTAAATGTGACTATTTAGCGGCATATTTTTAAAAATAAAAAAAAATGGTGATAGGGGTGTAATCTCACATTGTTTTACTAATGAGACAGATGATCGGCTGTGTTCATTATTGTCAAAATTCATGCGTAAGAACAAAACATTCTTCGCAAAAATTCTTTATCAACTAATCAAAACAATCAACTCTAACTCAAGTAATCAAAATTGGTTCATCTGTTTCGGTGTTACGATGCCTCAGACATACACACAGGTACACAGACACGTCAAGCTTGTAACACTCCCAATGCATCAGGGTTGCTCGTTAAAATAATGATTCAAGATTTTTCTCAATTTCTTAAAATCTGTGAATTGTATAAAATAACATAAAAATGATTAAAATGACACCCCTGCCAAAATCAGAATCATTTAAATCAGTTCGTACAAGCACGCTACGAATGTTTAGACAAATGTGTACATGGATAAAAGTGGAAAGTTTAAATGGAATTCTTATTATATACACCTATGAATAAAATCTATATATATATATACTATGTATATAAAAACTAGATATAAATCTACTATCACCCCTCAGCCTCTGATCTCTCAATTGGCTGTAAGTATAATGTATTATTCTGTAATCTTTGGTGATAAAGAGTTTAAACAACCATGCATATGTCATAAGCAAAGAATACAATTCCATCGCTTTCGTACGGCTTTATAAACTAAAAAAAAAAATCATTCGAAAAGAGTACCTCCTCCTTTTTTTGAAGTCAGTAAAAATAAAAAAAGCATATAATTTTGGAGACAAATCGTAATCAGGTTGACACGAAGCCCCGCTGGGCGGGTCTCTTGAAGATGCCATATTTAACCGGCGGAATTATACAATTCGCTTGCGACACATATACTATGTAGAACGATACATTTACAAATTAAAAAATGTGTTAAATGTTTAGGGTTTCGCAGAATATTCGGCATTGCCTTGACATATTGTTTTCTACTCGATATTTGTATGTAAACTTTAACTAGTGAATCGTTATTATAATACCTATTAAATACGTTAAAAAGATGTATAATTTAACAAACGTTACTTTGTGTAACAGAAAAATTCAAGCTAAAAAACCTGTAACATTTTTAGTTTTCAAAAAGGGAATTTGTCCGCGAGGTGTCCAACTAGTATTCCTTGAATTTATAAGTGTTACAACATAACTTAGTCCAGTTTCGTGGTCTGGATCAGCACTGCAGCGTTTGACGTTGTATAAAGTTCCAAGTGAATGAGATCTTATTGAAAACTGATACCAGAATCATACATTTTATTAAGCCTGAATTTATTGCACAAACTCCTACGAAAACCTCACCTTACTATTTTAGTAATGATAATAAGTTTGATAAATTTAACTTACAAAATTTTATCTCTGTACTTAGGCATTACATTTTTATATTTAAGTAGGTTAAAATGTAACGTAAATTCATCCACATGGAGAAGATAATATATAATAACTAGACGATATAAAAATATTTAAATATTACGGCTTACAGAGTCCACGGGCCATTTTCAATAACCTATTTATCTGTACATTTCCTTATTGGCATTATTTTAACATATTTTGTGCTAACTTCCCGCCCGCGCTTTTTTAAGGGTTCGTGGTTGATTTAGAAAAATGATGCATGATATTTTGTTAGTCACAAATACTCCGCATTCACATTCATAGTTTTTAACCATGAAAATTGCTGAATGCTCCATACAAACTTCTCCCCGCCATTTTAAAGAAGTGGGGGGGTTAAATGAGATAAAAAGCTCTCTTTTGCCGTAAAGACGGACAAATAAACAGACACACACACTTTCGCATTTATAATATTACGGCACACTTAACAGGCACGGCTCCAGCCCACGAATTCACTTGTCATATAAATATGAACTTTAAATCGTATTTCATAAGGTCAATATTAAAAGCTGTAAGCGGCCTATCTGAAGTCATTGGTAGAGGCTAATGTTCAGTAGTGCATGTTATCATGTCTGACATGACGATGATGGAGTAAATCTAAAGATAGTAAGGTTACTGAAATTGGCCGCAAGAGACATCGCCATCACAATTATAACACGTCACGTAACTGTGACAATTTCCACATATGAATAAATATAAAATTACAGTACAAAATGTTAACAAAACGCTCAATATGTTTAGACTCAAGGCTTGCAATCAAAGCTATAGGCCAAGAGCCTGCGAAGTTAACACTTTTATCTTCTTATGTATAAAAGTCAATCCCGATTTTCTATTGGTGATGGCATGGTCGGTTTGTTTGTACATACAAACATACTATGGTACCTCCACACATACAGACGAGAAATTTAAAAATTTTGTCACTTATTCACGTGTTCATAATCCATACTTCATCACAGAAAATTTAAATAGTATGTATATGGGAAGTTTAATCTTCGCGGGCTCTCGTACTACGATAGTTGCGCCATTGTAGACATATTGTTCGCACACTCACAAATTGTTCATAAAGAGTTGAATAATAGACTTGTGGTATTTTGCGGTGTGACGGGTGTTGGATGCCGGAGTAACATCTCGAGCGTGGGACCTGCCCGTCCGAAGGGATCCTTGGGGAACATGATCATATTGTTGACCCACGTGAAGGGTAGAACCCTGTTCTCGATGACATACCTCCACCGCTTGTTCTCGTTTATAAGATCCCTGTAATTATCGCCAGACACCACCACGCCGTCGAATTCTGCTGCACACTGGAGTATGTATCTGTAATGTTAATATTTCAAAATGTTTTATAGTCTCCATGCTGCTGATGACTGCCTCGTTGGCCGAGTGGTCGCAAGTGCGACTGCCGGGAAAGGGGGCTCGGGTTCGATTCCCGGGTCGGGCAAAGTGTTACTGGGTTTTTAAAAATTCTCAGTAGTAGCACGGAGTCTGGAATTGGGCCCGGTATATGGCAATAGGCTCACCCCCTATTAAATGGGACTCATAACATAAATAGTGAAAAGTGGGTGTTACATTGTACAGTGGCATAATGTGCACCTCTGCCTACAATAAAAAGGCGATGTTATGTGATGTGAGATTTACTTCTATGTATAGTTGTAGTTAAATAGTAGTCACTCCCACATTGGTCAAGTGATCCTCAACAATTCTCAAATTCCTAATCCAAAAAGGCCGGTACCGCGCTTGTATCGCCTCTGGTGTTTGAGGTGTCTATGGGCGACGCCGATTGCTTACCTGCTCCGTTTGCTCGTGGCTTATCCCATAAAAAACGTATTCTCATGTGACACATGCCACTGCCAAGCAATGGATCTCAGGTTCGAGTCATGTGTTAAAATACAATTAGATTTCAAATTTCCGAAAATTTTAAGTAATAGCATGGAGTCTGTAATTGTGTCCGGTGTATAGGCTCGCTCTTATTGCACTACTCATAAATGATAAAAATCATTGAAAAGTGGGTGTTCCATTGAATATGTGACATTATATGCGACTCTGCCTACCCCACGGTGGATAAAATATCGGCGTTACAATAAAATAGTATGCAATAGTGACCTGTCATCATAAGGCACGCAGTTCCTGCCCTTGATCTCCCGGGACGGAGTGTACACGACTAGGCCCTGCCGCTCCAGGTAGTTCAGCAAGTTAGGGTCCGAACTCTTGCCATATTTGCACCTGCAAGTAAAAATACACTTTATTACCACAAAAATAAGCAAAGAACTTGAATTGGCGCGGTGGCTGGGCGCTGGCTGCCGCTCAACTTGTCGCGGGTTCGATTCCCGCACGGAACAACTCTTTGTGTGATCCACAGATTGTTTCCGGTCTGTGTAAACGCACCCAAGACACAGGAGAAAATCCTGTGAGGGGCCACGTTTTTAAAAAACAAATAAAATAAACGAAACGAAGAAAAAAATATTGTAATTCATTTTTAAGGTAAACCACACATCTGACTGAGACCAGGCAGTAACACATTGTTTGTCCGTAGTAATATTGTAAAGAAACATTGTATTATTGTGTTTATGTATGTTTGTAATTTATTCACATAAAAACTACTGGACCGACTTCAAAAATTCATTCACCAATACAAAGTTGCATCTTTACTTAACCACAGACTAAATATAACATGCCAAAAAAAAGAGTGTTCATGAACGGCACCGTTTGGTTACCATAAGTCTGCTCATTTGCCGACCTAACTTTTCCTTAACAAACTGCTATGTAGATAGTGAACTTACCTAAATCGTGGCACGAACGCTTTCACCGAGTGCCCTCGCCTCACAAAGTAGTCAATGCATATCTTTAACCCTTCTACTGAAAACTGTCTGCCTTGTGTATGCCTGTAATAATTACAATAACAAAAAATTTAAACTAAGTGTGAGGAACGATTATATCATTTTTAAATACTAGTTGATCTACGAATTTTGATTAGGAGAAAAATTTACTCTATATCAAAAGACTGCACCTAAGTTTATAGTTTTTTTTTTGTTATAAATCATGTGACTATAAAAATTTGCTACCAATTCAACGTAGTTTGATAGACAATTTAATGAGATAGTAATTCATGCAAGCTGAATGCAGAACTGGAAAAATTTTGCAAGGTAAAACATTAGCATAGGTACTTTAACAAGAATACAAAGAATAGTACATAGAATACACTTTAGTAATATATTTTAATGTTATAAAACGAATGTTTTGTAAAACAGTATACAATCAGTTCATACTCACTCCATGGCCACATTGCTACCATCAATGACAATCATCCGCAGCCCGGTATTATTCTTAGGATCATTGCGAGGATTGTACACATTGCTGCCTATACTGTTTCTAGAAACACACAGTTTTGCTTCTTTCGACTTTGTTTCTCCTAGAATCACTTCTTTTATGTATGCATCTTCATCTGTTTCCGTTCCACGATTTTCCTGTCAATTTTATATTGATAGATAGATTTTATATCATAAAATTAAAGCAAATGGACATTTGGAATCAAGTTGTGTATTTCAAACCACAAAATAAGTGTTACCTTATGTTGTAAAGTCAAGCCAGTTTGAGCACCATTCTTCATATCACAACCACTGAATATTTGTTGAGCAATAATATTCAGTAGCAGTTCCTTTTGCGACATGTTCAACTGTGCCAGACCTCGTGCCAGAGTCTTTGCTTGAGTATTGTTTGCATTTTTCTTATTCCTTATGACCGTGACATCAGAATCTCCACTCATAGAGCTCGCATTAGATACTGACACTAGAGTACAATCTTGGCTATCATTTTTATCTGCACATTTATCTACATCTATCACATTAAGATTATCAGAAGTTCTATTCTCACTATCAGCTGTTAAATCTATTGTAACATATGAATCCGTATTGATAATTTTTGTTTATCATCTACTTTAGTCTCGTCTGGACGAGGAATTTCATGAAGTGCCGGTACTGGATAGAAATTACTGATAATATGATTCTTTAATGTCTGGCTATCCTGCTTAGCGATAGGAGTGGAACAGTTTACGTGGGAGTTGCTGTCTCTCCTGGGGGACAGGAGGATACATGAATCATTATTTGTTTCTAGGTCATCATCATTGATCACAATCAAGCTGTCGCTTTTTCTTTTCGTTTTCATTGGCAAGTTTGATAGCGCATTGACAGTAACAGGGCTTTTCCGTTTACGTTCAGGAAGGAATGAATCATTTGTTACTACAATAGTGAGGTTCTGAGGACTCTCATCAGTTGTATCAGACACTGACAAACAACTTCTAGAACCTATGGAGTCTCTTTTTAACTTGTTGAACACTTTACTTATATTCTTCTGCACATGGTTTTGTTTCTGTCTTCTCATTTGTTCCATTTTAGAGGCACTCATTGTCACTTTGTTCCTTTGCTTATTGGAATACAGCGAGCATTCAGAACATCTCTAAAATATACAAATGTACATTTTAATTGACATAAAACAAATTAGCAAAAGTTTTTCGCTTGTTGCAGAGCAGTTAAAAAGCTAGCAAATGCAATAGCAAATTTAACAAATAAGTATATAACATATTCAAATTTTTCACAATTTGACACACATGCACAATATAATGAAAAATGGCACATCAGGCAAGTGATACACATCGAAATCCATATTTGTAGTGAATAATAAAAGGAATAAAACAATATTCATACTGTAATATCAGTCATCAGTTCCTGAGAGAGTATTTTACTCAAGTTTTATATTTTAGGTAAATATGTCTTTAATTGCGCATAATGTATGAAAAATGTAACTCATCAAGAAACTAGTGAACGAGTTTTGTACAACACAGCATTTATATTGATAAATGTAGGTAGAAATGATTGCTTAGCACTTATGATTAGACATGTATGAAGGCTACTGGCTATCTGTACGAATGACTTAAAAATAGAGAAGTAAATAGGTACAACAAATACGATGTATATATTAACGTTTTTTGATGTTTTTGTTAGAAAACCAAACAAGCAATAGCCAATGTTTCCCATGATAAGGTTATAAAACAAGATTTTTATGGTTAACCGTTCCAGTAATAAGCTTCACACAATTAAAGCAGGTTCTTCATATCCCAAAGCTCCACATGCTTACAATAATATCAAAATTACATACTTGTAGATTTGTAAATAAACAATAAAATGTACACAGAACACAGAATCGGATTTTTTCAACTAACAGAGAGTGATGTAGATGACGGCTTGCCCATTACAATGCCTTGTAAATACACGTCAAATTTACAATTTATAAAACCTTTTAATTACAAATTTAAAACACTTATCGATAATGAGTGAGCAAGGAAAATATAAAACAGTTCAATTTTCAAAATTTGCCAATAAAAAGATGGCGCACACGATATTTTTTTTTATTAGACCACAGACTTTTTTTATAGTGACACGATCGGATACACACGGATTTCAAACGAAGCAGAAAATCGGATATTTTATAAATAGAAAATTTTAATTTTATTAATTTGATCAAATAAAAATTGGTATAATTATAATTACTTCGACACTCCTCATGGAGCTTTCAGCTCATAAATAATTTTAAGTTTAAGTAAAGAGGAAAATATGTAAACAAACCTTCAATACGTTTTGACTGAAAGGCTTGACAACGATAAAGACAGAAAAGCTGTTGTAATTTGGTCGCGTAATTATTAAAAATCATTCTAATAGAGGTTGAAAATATACTAGGTAGTCTTTTTGAAAATATACTGTCTTACTTATTATGAAAGAGAAGATGGTAGTGTTCACGTAGCGTTGGACGCATAGATTAAAAAAACAAAGGTCATCGAGCAGCGGGAATGGCGGGACCTCGGGAGTTATTGAAATGCATTATTTTGTGTTTATGGAATTTTAATCATATTTATGTATTGTTGTTGTTTTATTTCCATTTAATAGTTACAATTTAGATAGTTCTGATTTATACCGACATCAAAAAAAGGAGGAGGTACCTACTATGTTCGGGTGATTGTTTTTTTTGTATGTACGCCCATTACTCGTATTCCAAAATCTGAATATGGCGCCAATTTCTAACCTATCAGTGAGTGGGTAACTTATCAGTAGGTACTAATAGTTAGTTATTTTAAGTTATTATTATATTTAGTTTATTTTTAGTTCTAATAGTTATTTTTCTGAAAAGCTCTAAAAAGCTTTCGACCGTGTCAAACACCAACAACTTATCAGCCACCTGTCAGATATTGGGCTGGATGGCAAAGACGTCAGGATAATCCGCAATCTGTACGACAAACAAGTAGCAACAATAAGAGTAGAAAATGAAGACACCGAGCCGATTGAGATCTGTCGCGGAGTTCGTCAAGGTTGTGTTCTTTCGCCGATGCTCTTCAATATTTACTCAGAGGCCGTGATGTCTGAAGCATTAGAAAACCTCGATGCTGGAGTAAAGATTAATGGCACGCTGGTAAACAACTTGAGATATGCAGATGACACGGTTCTTGTTGCTGCATCGGAACGTGACTTACAGACAATTGTAAATAAAGTCAACGAGACAAGCGAGAAAGCCGGTCTGTCTATTAACATCAGTAAAACCAAGTTGATGGTTGTCTCCAAAAATCCTGATCTTGACCCAATTATAAACATAGATAGCAAACCACTCGAACGAGTACGACAATACAAGTATCTCGGTGCTTGGGTAAATGAAGTAGGTATGGGAATCAGATCAAGAAATTAAGACCCTAAGTGTTGTCGTCAAATAAACATTAAGCTCAGAGTTAGGTTACTCTTCTGCTACATCTGGCCTCTAGTCATGTACGGATGTGAAGCATGGACCGTGAAGGAGGACACTACGAGACGTATAAACGCATTCGAGATGTGGTGTTACCGTCGTATGCTCCGAATCAGCTGGACACAAAGGGTCAGCAACGAATCCGTGCTACAGCGCGTCCAAATGACCCGGAAAATCATGCTGACCATCAAAAAGCGAAAAATCGAATATCTCGGTCACGTGCTTAGACATGATAGATATTCACTGCTTCAATTGATCATGATGGGCAAAGTGGAGGGGAAGAGACGTGCTGGGCGCAGAAGAAAATCGTGGCTGCGAAACACCCGGGACCGGCATTACATCTGTCGAACAATTGTTCCGCATGGCTACCGACAAGGAGAAATACAAGAAGCTGACGGCCGACCTTCAACATTGAAGAGGCACTATAAGAAGAAGAAGAAGTTATTTTTCGCATTTTAGTTTTGAGGTTTTATTTGTTATTAGTTTTTAGTTTTTTATATTATTGATTTCAATGTAGCCTTTAGCAGATAAAAACTGTTGAAGGGTAATGCCACACGGCATCCAATGTGTTAACATTTCATTTTTAATTTCCCTGCCTTCCGAGTTTCTAAAATCCGATGTGGTTTAAGTTTCTTATATCAAAAGTAAGGTAAAATCTATCCCACCAAAAACATTCTGTAAAAAACTAGCCAAGTCTCGATGGAGCTGCTAGTTTATCTCTAAACAGTAATGAAATATAACAAAGTCGTGCCAAGTCTAAGGTTCCTTATTGTGATTTCGTTATTATTTTATTTAATGTTGTGTGACTTTGTTGCCGTTGAAGGGTACACAAGGGTAAGGCGACCAACTTTTTGAAAGTCCAATGCGGGACTTTTTGTAGATAAAGTCTAGTCGGTACACCTACAATTACATCGGATCGAAGTGCAGGAGTAGGAACGGGGTCGTTTTTAGTCAGTAAGAGTCTGACACTCCCTTCCACCTCAACCAGGCGGGAGAAATCATTCGATGATCCCCCCCCCCCCCCTTAAAAACACATAGGTACAATTACATAAAAACATAAAACTTATATACAAAAGTTATTTAACTATTAATAAAATCGTATTTATCTCTAGAGTGACACTTTTTAAGAAGTTCAGGATTCTTATTGAGTAGGTATGTCATGAAAATCTTCGCAACTTCCCATATTAAATTTAAGTACAAGCAGAACACGTAGTGGTTTACTTTTAGAGACGATTTTCCGATCTTCATTTATTCGCGCTGTTGTTAGTGCGCGTGTGTTGGTGTCGTGTAGTATGAAATGAAAAAAAAGAAATGGGTATGCGGGACTTGCGGGACGCATCTAACGTTTCACGGGACTATTTTATAAATTATTTCAAAGCGGGATTACATCTAGCATTACGGGACGGTCCCGCAGAATACGGGACGGTTGGCCGCCTTACACAAGGGTACAAAGCCAGGTGTTCCATGATACCATTGCACCAATCTGTCGCCAGAACCGCTACCCATTGACGATGGAAAATTGCACACATTGCACATGGGAAACGGGGTGTTCTCCTTTCAAATAGGGGCCTGAAAATGCGGCGAAATGCCAGTAAAGGATGGTACGGCAGTGTTTGCTTTGCGCTCGACTTGGCGGAGGCACTGCCGTGCCCCCAGATGAGGCTTGTTAAAGTTTTCTAATAGTAGCATTATTTTCACACAAGACGTTGAAAAAAATCACGATTATTATTTGGTTTCTATCTTTGTAATTTTGCGATGACTTCATTCTTGACATGTTAGATATTTATTTTTATATAATGTCGATGTCTATGGTCTCTTAACTTAATGTAGAGTCGATGAAACAAAACAGCCAAAAATCATTTTACAATTTTATTTTTTATTTGTGGATCTACAGATTAATGGCAATAATTTAACAGAGACGTACTTAGGACCTAAAATATTCTATTTACAAATAGTTGGTAGAAATAGATAATATAATTAATAGCTAATGAGTATTTAACGGTTTACATTATTACCTACGAGTACAGTAACATAACGTAACTACTTTAAAACAACAACAGTCGCTCCATTATTATAAACTTCAAAACTTACACCTAGTTTAAGTACTCTTCAAGCTTTATCACAATTATGTCTATGCTCTACCTGATATTAAAAATAGGTAGAATAAAGAACTACAAAATAAATACTGAGCAGTACATTAACGAATAATTATTATGCAAGAAATAATTTAATATATAAAATTGAGATTCTGATTAAATTAGGAAAGCCTTTATATTATTAACATTTATCATCAATAGATCGAGATGTAGACGCGTCAAGACATTTCTTTCTCAAACATTTATTTATTTCTGTATAATAAGTATGAAATGAAAATTAGATAAAAGAAATGTTTTCATTTATAAGAACTTACTATCGTGAGGCGTATTAGATTGATTAAAATACGGCTTGCTGTGAAACTGTTTGCTGACTCTCGACCAGTTTCAAACAACATAGGGACTTATAATCATGAGCAGACGGTTTATAAGTATATTGAAAGTTTTTGTAGTAAGCCACATATTTTAACCAATTTCAATTTATAGACACGTTGATTCGATTGGAGAAGCATGAGTAGCTTGCAGATAAAACTATTTACAAGTGTATAACTCGATGGTTTTGACACAGGTGTTACATTCTACGCGACAGCACCAATGGAATTTGCATCCGCATCGCTCTTTGATGGTGACTCGCCGTGTGTTGTAGCCTCTACCGCAGCACATGAGGGCACAGCCATCCATGCCTGATGACGTTCTGTTACACTGCCGGCCTGTCGTGCCGTATGATCCCTGGATAGTAAGAAAGAAATTATTTATGTATATGAAATTGACCTTGTGGAATTTTGGTTTCTAGCTAAGTCCTCCTTAATGAGTCCTCCTCATTGATTGAATTAAATAATTGTAGAGAATAGATAATTTAAAGTTTTGGTCAGTTTTGAATGTGAATTTGAAAGTTTTAGACTGTAGGCAAATACTATATAGTTTGCATGGCTTTTACTTGTACTCGTAAATCATTATGTTATGTATAAATGACATTATGATAATTAGACCTTAAAAAAACTACACTTCATTCTCACAATCCAGTTTTCCATATTAAGGATAATTGCTTTGATACAGATGTATGTTTAATGCAGTATTTATTTAATTATGTCCACATTAGTCCGTAACTGATATGGAGATACAAACCAGTATACGTGAATGATTGAAAATTACACTAATTAATATAGTTGATAAACGGGTAATACAGTTACTGGATTCAATTGCTTGCTTATTAATTAATCAATCATACAATGTTGTTATGATTCGATCGTGTATTTATTTCCATGATACAATGAGAAATTATACTGTCTTACAAGCTTTTTGTCGTACATCGTCCAATCAGAAGATTGTTAGGGATAAATGAATAATGAATTTTAACCGATAAGTCATAAGCTTATTTATTGCTTATTTATATTTATAAGGCTTCTTCTCGCACGAGGAGAAGGACTCTTAATATACATAACCTTACGCCTGTCTCCCAAGGGGGTAGGCAGAGACTATGACACGATTGCTACGTACTCGTAGCACATCTGGTGAAAAATGGGTGCCAGATAGTCTGATGTGCCTTTGCATAGTCCTTCGAGAATGAAAAAGAGTGCGAGGATTTTTTTTATGTCATACTTTTGATGGCAAGTAATCGGCGCCGCCCATATAACTGCAACAAAGAAGTTACAAGTGCGTTGCCAGCCTTTAATGACTGGGGTAGGTAGGTATTTGGAGTGATTACCAGTGTTTCATTCTTGACGCAGTAGTTGGGTGAGTCCTCGAGGTAGACCAGGTCCTGTGCAGTGGGCAGGGTGTAGTGCGGGTTGCTGAGCCTCAGTTTTCCTCTTCTAGACACTTTCACTTCTGTCGCCCCTTCGTATTTGTCCTTTAAGAAGTCACCTGGAAAAATAACAAAAAATGTATTTTAGAGGCTTCTTATGACGTAATGTTTACACTAACTACTTAATTCTTTTAGTGTGGTTAGTAAATAGTTTTGTATTTTTGTATTAATTTTCAGGTATGCATAACGTTATTAGTGCAAGGAAAATCATAAAGGAAAAGCGTACCTAAAACTTGTAAAATATTGTATTACGTGCGCTGTTTAGGTATACGCTAAACATGAAACTATAAAAATATTAAGCCTTTAAATACTATATAGGTTATTTATATAACCATTTAATTGAAATAACATCACGCCTTTTATCCCCGAAGGGTTAGGCACAGGGGCACATTATACCACTGTACAATGTAACACCCACTTTTCACTATTTATGTTATGAGTCCCATACTCCCATGTAATAGGGGGTGAGCCTATTGCCATATACCGGGCACAATTCCAGACTCCGTGCTACTACTGAGAATATTTAAAAACCCAGTAATACTTTGCCTGACCCGGGAATCGAACCCGAGACCCCTTGCCCGACAGTCGCACTTACGACCACTCGGCCAACGAGGCAGTCATTTAATTATTTATAGATTTTATAATCCGTCCCTGGTCATTACAGATAAGGTGTCTTTTATGAACTAAAATAACAGTACCTAATGAAATTAATGCGTAGTATTTAACAACAATAAATTAATTTAATGGCTTTTAAAATCTATAATAAAGGTTCGTTAGCATTTTTGGACAATAAATAAAGTGTGGTTGTTCTAAACTAAACCTATTCTTTGGCGCGTGGGCGTTTGATTTACGCAGCCACCCGCAAGATGACGCGCCATTCATTTTGTTGTCACTAATTACAGATATGTCAATACAGCCCACAATTTGGTGTTTATTATAACATGGTTTTTGTGTCATGTACAATTTAATTACATCTCTATTAAGCGCCTATTCAACATTTTCGACCGGAAGAAATATTAATTTACTAGCGGCCCGGTACGTGCTTCGCTACGTATAAAGTGAAATAAAATAAACAAATCGGAACATCAAATTCATTTATTTAATCAAAAAAATATTTTATTTAAAATCGAAATCAATTGCTAGCTATTTACAACACACTTAATCCAAAACATTTGGATAAACAATATTTTTTGTTTTTCCATTTTGAGCATAAATAAACAAACGGCTGGGGGTACCGACTCTGGAACAGGCAACATGTAACTGGCCATGTGAAAAACAATGTTCCTCCAAATTCACACCACAAACGTGAAGTGTTTGACCTTGGGCCTTGTTGATGGACATCGCAAATGATAAACGCACAGGATATTGTAAACGTTTGAACTCAAAAGGCATATCAGTTGGAATCATAGGTATACGCGGTATCAAAACAACTTCTCCTTTTGATTTACCAGTTAAGATCGTAGCTTCAATCAAATTTGGCAATAACTTTTTCACTGCCAATCTGGTTCCGTTACACAGTTTTGGTGGATTAATATTTCGCAATAATATAATCGAAGAACCAACTTTTAGATTCAAGCAATGCGGTGGCATACCAGCCGGCTCCAATGAATTTAAAAATTCAATTGGATAATTCATTGCCTCATCTTGATTCATAACACTGTCAATTGATTTATATTTCGTGACTACGCCTGGCAGTTTCGCTTGAATTTGAAAATTAATTGCATTGACATGAATGTTTTTCGGTGCTAAAATGGCGCGTTCTGTCAACCAATCATGATTTCTGTAATTCTGAACAATATTCGGAAAAACACATTCAATCAATTCATCTATCGATTGCGCAATTGTACAAAAATTGTTCGGTACAGCGATCAATCCGTTGGTTCTGTCGATTTGTATTTTGCCGTCACCAATTTCTAACAATTGTTTTGAGAACTCATGGGCAGCTGAATCATTTTGTAGGTGAACACGCATATTAATGTTTAGTGTCAATTTTTGTAGATATCTACAAAGAACTGATGACTTCAAGCAGGCATTTATTTCATCAGCAGGAGTTGATCGAGGAATGACAGGCAATGTTTGACGAAAATCCCCTGAAAGTAATATCAAAGCACCACCAAAAAGCTGTTGATTACCACGTAAATCTTGCATTGTTCGATTGAATGCTTCTAGTGATTTTTAATTCGCCATTGTACACTCATCCCATAACATAATCGACGTTAATCGCAGAACTTTTGCCATAGCAGAATTTCTCGATATATTGCAAGTTGGAGTTTCAATCACCTGTACATTCAATGGCAATTTTAATGCAGAGTGTGCGGTCCGACCACCTTCTAATAATGTAGCAGCAATTCCCGAAGATGCAAGTGCTAGTGCAATTTTCTGATCTGATCGAATAGTCGCTAAAATCAATGATATAACGAACGTTTTACCTGTGCCACCAGGTGCATCCAAAAAATATAATCCACCTGTATTATTGGAAACGGCTTGCATGATTGTATCATATACATGTTTTTGCTGAATATTTAATTTGGTTATATTCGATTGTACAAATAAACGCAAATCATTACAGTTGAATTCCTGCTCACGTTGCAATTCACGATCAAACAAATCATGCATGGGACGATTTGGTGCGGTCATACCCAATTGTACTAATGCTTTATTTGCAATCGTTAGACATATATCTTCAATTATTATCAAAGCTTCGTTGCACATTTCCAAGGTAATCAACAAATCAGGATTTCTTGCATGATGACGCATACGAATTAAAATATCTTCTGCCATATAATTTTTATATTTGTTCCATAATTCAAGTGGATTGGCTGGTGGCATTTTCCCGTATGCACATATGTTTTCGCTTAAAAATCGAAAAAAAAAATTAGAACAAAAAAAAAAAACAAATTCCCAAGAAGCTGTCGCATATGATGCTATGTGAAATCATATACGGCAACTTAGAAAAGTACACATAAATTCAGGACTCACCGTTTGTATGAATGCACTGCAAATGCAATTATGTGAAAAGAAATTTATCGCTGATAATATGCTTTAATCAAACCACGTCCAAAATGAACTGACGGCATGAATGACATAACAACGTGCTTGTCTTGTCAACAAAACTTCAAAAAAGTTTCTGTGAAAAAAGTTTCTATTGAATTCATTTATTACAAAAAATGTGACAAATGAGGAACCGCTCGACCGATTTTGTGCAAACTTCACATAAACCATCTACTAAATATGCCGACCAAATCCTAAGCATTTGGTTTGGATAGGTGAGCCCGTTCTTGAGTTATGGAATTACAACGAAAAGTGGCATTGATTTTTATATATATATATTAAGATTCAAAATGGTTGCAAATAGGTAGCTGGCTGCTAGATGACATAAACAGTATCAACTGTTGGACGTTTGGTACATCTTCATATTTATCTACTTACCAAACTTTTGTTTATTCAAATTTCCTACCCATATGTGTCCAAAATAATCTTGAATAAGCTTCGTTAAAAAATAAAAGTATATATTTTACGAGCGCTTAAACGGCTTATTAAGGAGGTAAAGAGATCCAATTCCATGTTTATGAGCTACCAAAGCTATAACCTCGTTCAGTTCAAGCCACAAAACAGGAAATATCAGAAGTAACAATAGGTAAAATAGGTATACATACAGACAAAGAAGTATACGTACGAAAGATTGCTGAGATCTACACTGTGCGACGACAGTACAGTGCGGCACATCCCTAAACACAGTAATGTGCCGTAAGACTGAGTCCAAACCTAGGTCTAGATATGGCCCTACTTGCGGCTTAGGCTAAGAAGGAGTACCTACTTACCGAGAGAAGACAGAAACTATACTTTGAAGATTTAATTAAAATAAGAAATTTATCCAATTCTTGTATAACTGGGACTTCTGTACTATTATTTGTGACGGTAGTGATATTTTATATTTATTGTAGGGTTTTAATTTTTATTACACCGCGATAATTTATTGTTTTCGATAAACTTGTTATAGTTTTAGGTGTTCTAATTACAATAGATTAGTTGCGTAGTTAATGTCACAAATACAATTGTTTATGATAGGAATGTATAGGATGTACCTTTTATTTTTAAGGGGGGAAAATCATCGAATTACTGCTCCCGCCTGGGTGAGGCGGGAGGGAGTGTCAGACTCTTACTGACTAAAAACCACCCCGTTCCTTCTCCTGCACGTCGAGCCGGAGCCCCGGTAACCCGTTAGGTTCTCCGCGACATAGTATGTACCTACCTAGGTGTCTAATCGTAGATACCATTGTTATCTAAATAAGAAGTTTAGAAACCGAAGTTACGTTCCTGCCAAAAAGTTAACCATTCCTAAATAGGCTTCGCAATTCCTGGATGGAGATCCATTACTTTTTGTTAAAAATAAGAATCTCTTCAAGGAGTAACACAGGGTTATTTTTGTCTCAATATTCCCACAAATTCGATAACTAATCGATAAAAAATTTGTATTCTAAAGACACAGGCGAATCTCCTTACATAAGCCAATGTAGAGACATTAACGTTTTTGGGAATTCTATAGACAGAATTTAAATCATGAAATGGCGGAAGTTGAAAATCAAGTGAGCGCTCATTTGTTCCCACAATCAACTAAACTATTGTAAAGGACGAAACAAAAACCAAACCCTTTTTTACATACGTGAGAGAGTTCACACGATCTACAAAATTAATCAGACGACATTTGAACAGAAAATTAATGGATTCCATTACCACAAAACCCCGGTAGAACAATTAAAACTATCAAGTAATCGGGAGTATTAATTCGTGAGGTACCAGGACGACAGGATCACAAAGGAAGTAATCGTCACTCATTAACTATTAACGTTCGGACGTCAGAACAATACCGGCTCGTTTAGACGAGGATTTGCTTAATAGAGTGTTAAGGAACTTTTGGTTTCCCGTTTAATGGCGGAAACGTTTGTATATGACCACTATTAGTTGCATCTAATGAGAATAGATGAAAGCTATGTGACTAAACCTTTACATCTATGGTGTCATGAAGCTCCTGGTTTTGTACCCTTCAACGCAAAATCACACAAAATGAACTATAATAATAACAAAATTGCAATAAGGAACCTTAGACTTGGCACGACTTTGTTATAATATTTCATTACTTTTTAGAGATAAACTAGCAGCTCCATCGAGACTTGGCTAGCTTTTTACGAAATGTTTTTGGTGGGATAACCTATACACAAAAAATTAAGCAAACAATACAGTCAACTATGGGTTTAATGCTACTTTAGAATAACGAAAATATTACAACTGTAATTGTGATGGTATCATTTCCTTTCTATAATACCTTGGTCCCCAGGAATATAATAAAAAAAAAGTTGATGTATAATTTCCTTTGGGAAGCAGTGTAGTGTGCTCTACCATGTCTTAAATTAATTTATTGAGATTAGTTTTTAATAAATAGCAGTAACCAATAACGTAAATAATTCTCATGCAAAAATGTATAGGTACACTATCAGAAGGTATGACTCACCAATCTCCCTAAAGGTGGGCAGTTGTTGCCAGCATGTAATAAGGCTGCAGGAGCCCGACACGCCGTGACACTTGCACGTCACACGGGACTTCGCTATCACCGCCTGGTAACAAACAGAAAATATCATTGGCTTCCTTGTGCATAATGCTAAGAAGTGGAATACTTGCTAGACTCTGTATAACTACTCAATCCCCGGACGATCACCGGTGACCGCTTTCCACTAATACCAGTATAGACCTTATTTCCGATGGTTAAAGACTACTTTTGTATGAACATTTTTTGGGGATTTTCGTTACGATTACGATGTATCAACATACCGCCCGAATACTGAAAGGATAACCTGGGGTGTCTTCAAGGCCCGACTGAATAGATTCCATATGGGACAATGTACTCCATCGTAGACCACATTATCGCTTACCAACAACGAAATAGGAGTCAAACGTCAAAAAAGAAATCACCATCGCTACTCTTCCCGTGGGTATTAATAGCCCGTGAGCGTGTGACAGTCCTCTGCTGTTACTCTGTTGCTGTTATTTGTCTCTATATAGGAGGGTTTACCATAATCACCGAGCTTGCAGGCAGGTTGAAGATCGCAAGCAAAGTTCTGGTTTATCACGGAGCCCTGTTGCCTAGTCTCTGTCAAATATCCTTTAATTGGTTCATCCGACACTCATAGTAAGAGTGCGGATGGTGATAAACATATATTACTTTCCTATAAAGCAAGAAAAATCACATAAAAACACTAAAATGAAAGCATTCAATAATATCCGTTTATGTCGGCAATAACACGTGAGCTCGCGATTCCTTGTATCATAACAAACAAGTACCTACAATTCGTTTCTGTGCTCCTAATACCCACTGCAAGTTTACGAGTATTGCTTAGAAGGAAGAGAGATATGAATAAAAATGCCATAGAACCTTATTGTCGGTTGAATATTGTTAGACAGTAAAATGGCAGTAAACTGTGCAATTATGGGTTGACATAAAGCTGTCTATACAACCCGAGGCGGTGTAATCGCGACTTTATGTCGTATACACTTTATTGGACCAACTCGTTTTGTTGTCCTATCATGCATGCATCGCTACGATAGACTGCATACAATTTTTTTTCATACCAATTTTGCTTAAAATCTATGAATTTTCAGTTTTCTTGAAAATGGGACTCAATACTAAGCCTCTGTTGTTCGTCTGTCTATCAGACAAACAGTTATAGATATACAGTTGAAATTCACAGATAATGTACTTGTTGCCGCTAGATAACAACATTTTTAACTCTCGCCATAATATAATCTATCTTCATGCAAAATAACATCTAAATCCTCCCAGTAGTTTAGTAGTTAAACCCCATAAAATGTTTAGCAGTAATAGAATGGCGTCAGACGTATGAAAATATTAAATATGATATTACTGTCAACTTAAATATTTTAATACAAATACGAGTTTTTACTGGAACTTACAGCTATGCGACATACTTCACAACCTAATCCTTTGTGAGTTCAACTTCATCGTAACTTATAAATGCGGAGTTGACGTTGTTTGGTTGTTTGTTAAACTTTTAGATTTAAACTGCCGAATCGATTATGCTGACTGACTGACTGACTCTCAGCGCTACTACCGATTAAGAGGTCTCGAATTCGATTTTCTATGGAAGAAGCCGATAAACGAGCACACGGATCACCCGATGGTAAGCAATCGGCGCCGCCCATAGACCCCCGAAACACCAGGGGCGTTAGCTCTCCCGCACATATATTTAGTCGCGCCACTTATTGTCGGGTTTATTACGATTTTTCGGAATAGCACGGAGTCTAGAATTGTGCTAAGTGCATGACAAATGTTGACCCTAAATAAAAAGGACAGATCCGCAGGCTGCCACGAGTTCGGGGGCTGCGAAAGAATATGACTTCCGCACCCTCGTGCCCACGTGTGAGACGGGACACCGAGGTAGGTTTTAGTCAGTATCAGCCTGACAGTCACTTTTGTCCTCCCCAGGCGAGGGGACTCCATGAGCATTTCCCTCCCACCTTGGGGTCAAAAAACATCCGACTCATAATATAACTTTTGAAATATGTTTACTTAGACTTACTGCTTATTTCTTTGGAAATTAAATTATGTGACAGTGACATTATTATCTATATACAATCACAGTACATAATGTAAAAAATCTGGTGAAAATGGGACCACCTCGGGAGAGTAACGTTTCGAACAAAAAATAGTTTTGGAAATCGCTACACAATGAGGTATAATGCTGTATTTTTGCTCCCAGGATGGTATTAGTGTGAACCTCTCTTTTTTTGTCCATAGGGAATTAGTTAGTGTCACTTCATTGGACAATTTACATCAGCTGCAGTGATTGGACAAAAAACACCTCTTGTAACGTTTGCGTCATCTGGAGACCAAAAATATGAAAGCCCCAATTGATTGCTGGAATAATCACTGGCCATGCATAGAAAAAAAATACAATCATCCGCATACAGAACCTCCTTCCTTTTTTAAGTCGGTAAGATAGATAAATAGGAATGTGTAGTGTACTTACCCGTCTTCCAGCCTCATTGTTGTGCCTGTTCATAAGCTGCCTGCCTTGCTCCCGACTGCCTCGCTTTACTTTGCGCTCTCGCTCTCTGATATCCACGAATACTTCTGTAAACCTGTCGAAATTACGTTCAAATTAATTTGTTACAGTCAACACGTTAAACACTATGGGGTCACACGTGACCGAAATTAGCGGAGGATTTGTTTCAGTAGTTTTCTATTGACGGTCAAAGCTTTTATTATCAAAAATATAATTGTTCGTCCGTGAAGCTACATGGTTGTTCTAAAATGTAAATTCGTATGGATAACAACGTAGGTAACTCATAAACAACGTTAAAAGCCATTCATCTGCTATGTATGTATCTTACAAACATTTTCACAAGGAATGCATACATACATAACAATGCACTTGTAAAATCGTGGAAACTTTCTCAAAATATGTTTATCAAACCCTGATGCCATACATGTGACGTCACATAAATCAAATGTCATCAACTTTATACATCGCACAAAGTTAAAGTAAGACCAAACTTTACTAAGCCCCTGGTACTATGAAAAGCTTTGGAAAATGCGTGAAAGGGATATTAATGAAGAAAAGAGATAGGTATATTTCAGGTTAACATCCCTTCGCCACGCCCACCGCTACGGGAAAGCCTCTGTTAATATTGATCATTTCGCTTGTTTTTTAGATACTAAATCGTGTGTAATGCGCATAGGGTGTATTGTTGAATGTTATTAATGCTTAGGGGTGGAAATGTTTCGGAGGGTTAGACTTGTGCTCCTGGTATCAGAATGTTTGGTTAGCAGTGTGCAGTACATTGCGCATTTCATTACACGATTTAGTTTCGTAGCTATTCAGGAGAAGCAATGTTTTATGAAGTAGTAGTTTGAAAATTTCTAAGAAATAATTTGACGTACTGTCGAAATTTATTAATTGACAATTTAATATAATATTATACTACTCTACTGTACCCATGATTTTAGCGGTAAAACAATATATCAGCGGATTATTTCCATAAGTTCGTAAGATTTTTCGCTCATTTCGGGATTGTAGAGGGGTCTGGATTAACTCTTTCTCAAGTCTATGCTCTCCTAGTACAAGTTATCGGACTTAAGCGCCCGTAACCCGCTAAACCCGGGTTATATCCGAGTTTATCCGGTAAGGTTTGGATTCCGCGACTGAAAAGTACAGTATTACTAGTAAGTACTGTACTTTTCAGTCAATGATTTTGAAAATTGTATTAATTTTCTTACTGAATTTCAACCACACATTTAATCAAAGGCAGTTTATATGATTTTCATATTATATTTTTTCTTAGATCATACATCACACATGACAGACATTTTTCCTAACCTCAAATATTTAATACTGCGAAAATTGTAAAATTGCCGAAATCCATGACGTAGTCTTCGTCAGATTTTCAAGCATGCCACGCGTTCCACGAATTCTTCGCGACGTCCGCCCCCTTCTGCTCGCCTAGTCAGAAAAATACTCGAATGCGGGAAAATCTCCTTTATGAAGCCAAGACCCCGTACATAGCACACATTTCTTCGTGGCTGGCTACATGCCGAACATTCTTCAGCTACTTCAGTCCATGTTACCTTGGTAGAGAAAATTCAAACAGACAAATCGGAAAAGCTTTTTTAAAGTGTTCTTTATAAAAAAAAAATTAAAAAAGCTCCACCTCTGGAAACTCGTGTCTACGTGTGGGGTTAGAAACCCCGCCCACTATGCGTATGTGTAACATTTCCCGAGAGTTTCCACACTAACACAAACACAGTTTAGAATGGGGCTGCGCTTATGAGTTCCTAGTAGATGGACCTCGTGTTTTTTTTCGAAGGCCGTTGTTTGAAGGCCTTTGCTACGTAAAGTTTTAGATTTTCATTCACGCAAAACACATAAATCGCGAAGATGTATTAAATAAAGTTATTTTTTTTATAGCACGTTAAATGAGCAGACGGATCTCCTGATAATAAGCCATTGGCGTCGCCCATGGACACCTGGAACACCAGAGGCGATACAAGTGCGTTACCGGCCTTTTGGGGATTAAGAGTTTGAGGATTGTTAGGGATTCAGGGATTGGGGAGATTGGGGAAAGGGAGGGTAATTGGGCCTCCGGTAACCTCACTCACACGACAAAACACAACGCAAGCGTTGCTTCACGTCGGTTTTCTGTTAGGCCGTGGTATCACTCCGGTCGAGCTGGCCCATTCGTGCCGAAGCATGGCTCTCCCACACTTAGAGAACAGCTTTTTATAAACTTTTAATTATTTTTGACAGTTAAAAAGATATTATAAAATACTAGCGAACCCGACAGACGTTGTCCTGTATATCCACTTGAATGTGTAAACAAAAATTCATTCAAATTAGTTCAGTCGTTTAGGATAACTAACCTAGACACCGACTGCTGGACTCGCTGCAATTGAGAAGTGGTTTGAGAGACGCTACGGCGTCCTCACTGGACATGGAAGTTTCGGGAGGTACCTGTGTCTGATGGGGCGGGAGGAAACGCCCGGGTGTCATCACTGCGAGAACCGCCCTGAGGACACGGTGGAACACAGAGTGGGGGAATGCCTTGCGTGGGCTGAGCACCGCCGTGCCCTCAGGGAAGTGATCGGCGATGGCGACCTCTCGCGTCCGGGCCTAGTGCAGGCCATGATGCGGAGCGAGGGGGACTGGATGCCGTCTCCTCCTTTTGCAAAGCAGTTATGCTAACTAAGGAGCAGTCGGGATTCGAGCGGCGCGCGCCTGAAAGAGCCATCAGACCACCACGGATGGGCCCAATAGGGCTGATGCCGATACGAGTCGCGGAGAACCTAACGGGTTACCGGGGCTCCGGCTCGAAGTGCAGGAGTAGGAACGGGATGGTTTTTAGATAGTAAGAGTTTGACACTCCCTCCCGCCTCACCCAGGCGGGAGCAGTCATTCGATGACTTTCCCCCCTTAAAAAAAAAGTCTTAACAAATTGCAGCGCGGAATGTGGTATCGTACTACAAAGTACCTAGGTTGGACGAAGGTAAAGCAAGAAGCCATAACCCCGACTCCTAGTGACCCACAGCCAAATGGCGAGCTCGCTCTGCATTTGAACAAGCGGAGTTTAACAGATTTTCGCTCACTTTTCTGCAAAGGGGCTCGTCCCATTGTCTCTGGGAGAGTGGAAAAAATCTTTAGAAGTAAAACTAAGATTATGGAGAGTGGCAGTCCGACTACACTGGTAAAATATGATCATTTGGTTAAAGGCTAACTTCAAAATTAGACATTTTTTATATTTATCAATCAATATCAATTATTATGTAGGGCTTTCATCAAAAATCATCCAATTTCTTATTTATTTCGTTCAATGATTCAACACAATTGCACACATATTTTTTGTCTACAAAAATTGACGTTTAGACTGAAAAAAAAAACAATATTAGCAAGAGATAGTTTTCTTAAATGTGGTTAATAGAGGTGTTACAATGTACAGTGGCATTAAGTGCCGTAATGTACATCTCTGCCTACCCCTTCGGGGATAAAAGGCGTGATGTTATGTTATGTGTTTAATGAATAATAATAATAATCGTTGTCAACAATGAACTAGTAAGACAGAAGCCTTCGATTTTCTCATCTAGCAAATTCCAAACACCCCCTTATTTATCTGTGGTCCTAGTCAAACAGCCTCTAACCGTGACGTTTCAGCGTCGGAAAAAATGTGACGCGCGGAACAAAGTAACAGTTTCACCAGAGCATTCTTTAATCTGTGGTTCCCTGGTAACTTTGCCTCGAAATATGCAGAAAATTCCATGTTTTTAGGAAAATGTGGTTTAAAAAACAATAAAGAGAAATGACACAAACACAACAATCATTTGTTTTTTTTTTGTTAATATTTCGTTTAAAATAATCTTGGAAGCCGGCTGCAACGTTGGTTGATTCATTCATCTTTTTTATTTTATTTCGCCCTGGTGTTTGAAACCGTTTGAACTGAAAAAAAAAACAGTCGTTCTAAACCGCCGCACCGCAGTTCATTGGCTCAACAGTTTAGATTGTGTTCGCATTTTTTTTAATAATATTTTTCTTGACTGTAATCTTATTAAAATTGTAAATTCCTCGGTTTCTATTTAATTTCACATCTTTCGTGTAAAAATATTTTCACGGATTCTATTGAAAAAAGAAAACGAAATTTTTCAGACCCTTTCGTTTTCAGTGGCGGTTAACCCTTTCAGCACGTGAAGGCTTGCCAGGATTCCACGCCCACGTAGGAGGTTGTCTACGGCGCTACGTGTTGCTACGTCAAATATTATTCGTTTCACAAGTAGAAGAAACGCTTTGAGCATTTATTTCTGTCCTCATATAGTTTTTTTTTTTAAGGGGGGAAAATCATCGAGTGACTGCTCCCGCCTGGGTGAGGCGGAAGGGAGTGTCAGACTCTTATTGACTAAAAACCACCCCGTTCCTTCTCCTGCACGTCGAGCCGGAGCCCCGGTTACCCGTTAGGTTCTCCGCGACGTCCTCATTTAGTTTAGGTACATAATATGTACGCATTATTATCATTTACTGTCAAAAGATTTTTTAAACATATGATCAAAGTTGGATAAAATACTAGATAGATTTTAGGTTTAATAATAATTTTACAAACATAATAACAAAGTGCCTCGCATCAAACTTAGAAAAGTTTAGTTTTTTTTAAGTTTATGTTACCATAGATAACATTTAGAATCTATGGATTGAGAACTGTCAAAGCAAGAGACGTGATAATTGAATATCTTACGGAAAGTAATTAAAATGGATAAAAGGGGGGATTTGGAATTTAAATAATAGGCTTAATCGTCGTTTCTTTGATTTACAGGTGAGATGATCATTATTATTTTATTACTAGATTATTAGTGTACCTAAATATTTTATGTTTTTGTTAAATAAAAATCTTTGATTTACAGAGCAACACGTGGTTTGTTATTTCTACTTCAACATCTCCAAATAATCCAACCATTACATGGATTATGATACATCTTAATAAATCATCTTAATTTAATCAGCATACATTCAATCAGGCTAAACCAAATACATTTTTTGCGAACCGCGTAGTAATCGTAGCCCGTAGTACGTAGTAGTAGTCGTAGCATGAATGACGTTACGGGGCGGGCTACGTACTACGGGCTACGAAGCTACGCTACGTTGCCGTCGTTCAGCCGCGACCTCCAGTAGATTTATGAGCGCCTAGTACCCGACCTGTCTTTAGCCATGGTTTGACACCCGTGAAGCCCGGCTGACAGCTGATTAACGAATGTTACCTTTTTACCCGACTGCCAAAGAAGGAGGGTAATGTTTTTCGAGTGTATGTAAGTATGTATGTATGTCTTTTCCTTTGTGACCACCTGTAGCCTAAACGGCTTGATGGATTTTGATGTATGAGGTATCGTTAGATTTGTCTTGATTACGGGAGTGTCATAGGATACATTTTATCCTAAAAGTCCCACGGGATAAAGACATAATAATATTTTTTCTAAATTTCCCTTTAAAAAAATATGTATGCGGTATCATTAGATTCATTTCAATCACGGGAGTAATTAATATAGGATACGTTTTTTCTCAAAATTCCCACGGGAACATGTTAATTCTGCGTCAACGCAAAGCAACTCATGCGTTAGCAAGCAAAAAGATAGGGCGTGGCCTGGCATGCGGCGCGCGGCGCGGTGCGGAGGGGGATATGCTCGAGTATACAGCCCGATTGCGGGCACACGCATGAGGGCACACGTCGTTGACGGTCGTCTCTAAATAGCGATTTTTTCGATACTTCGTCGTCTGACGCGAAACTTATAAAGTATAAATAACTCGTTCTTTTTTTTTTCTTTCGTGTTTCTCTCTTTAAATTTATTCGTTCTTTCTAATTAATTAACTCGTTCTTCCGTTCTTTTTTTTGGTTCTTTCTTAAATTCTTCATATTAATTAATAATATAATAATAATTATTAATAAAATAACTAGGTAGGTAGATATTTTTGGTTAGTTTAAGTAACATACTTTTGCTGGGTTAGCAATAAAAACACTTGACCCAAAAAAGCTGTTGGACCGGCCCCACGACGAATGTTCTTTAACTGAACTTAAACGTTTGCGGGATCTTCAGCAGTAATGACTCACCTAATTCTTTTTCTTCTTCACTACCAACAGCCCAGATTGGCGGTAAATTTATGTTGCGGAGTAACATCACTCGTAATCTAAAGCCAAATGTCGTCGAAATAATTTAAAATGGTACTTACATATACATAGTCTTCTACATCTACAACATTTTCGTTAAATAAAAACAGCTAAAAAGTTATAAATAAAAAAATTATTATTAAAAAAACAAAATACCCGACTGCACACTAAAAAAAGAGTAAAACAAGCCCCACAATATATTGATCAATCAAATGCTAAAAACTAATTATGTAATACCGTTTAAACAATACCTATATTAAAATACACTACAATATGTGTTCGTAATCGATAGTTAAATAAACAGAAACTTATTTTGAATACAAATTTACTGAATATAATTTATAAATGTTGATGGAAAGCATCGCAGGCGGGGACCACCTTGACCGCCACCAACGAAAATTCTGCTAAATGGTGCACAACCGAAATGACTATAAATAAGCCTCTGTTGGTCCCCGCCTGCGATGCATTCCATCAACATTTATAAATTATATTCAGTAAATTTGTATTCAAAATAAGTTTCTGTTTATTTAACTATCGATTACGAACACATATTGTAGTGTATTTTAATATAGGTATTGTTTAAACGGTATTACATAATTAGTTTTTAGCATTTGATTGATCAATATTATTGTGGGGCTTGTTTTACTCTTTTTTTAGTGTGCAGTCGGGTATTTTGTTTTTTTTCCTTCCTCCTACACATTACATACTTTGTATTTTTGTAACCTAAACCTTAATTTTATTACCGTTCCCGTTTAGATAATGCCTGTTTCGTTATTAAAATTAACTTCAAAAACTATTCATTTTTAATTTTACTTTTTTCTAAGAACTACCTAATTAAGACAATTAATTGTAGTTTCTAAATTAATTAAAAAGGTAGCATTTACTGACTGATATTTTTTTCATGAGTACCTACGAATGTTAATATTATTGTGTAGAATTCAATTTTACCTTTCTAAAATAATTACAAATATCGTAATTTAAATATTGTCGCGAACGATCACGGCATCATGGGGGCAGGTAAGAAAAACTCACGCCTGAAAGAACAGGTAAATTTTTCACCTGTCTTACCTCTCACCTTGATACTAGGACATAAGAACGTCACAGGAGTAAAACACGCACCTTTTCACGTGAATTTCAGGTGCACACACACCATCACAAATCTCGTTTACCTTTATAGCTCACCCGAAAACGTGGAGACGTGAGTTTAAAGCGTGAAAGAGATGGAGCTATTAAATGCCCGGTCCTTTTCTGATACAAAGGGGAAAGTAGGGAAAATGAACAGTCACTCACACAACGAAATTATGTCTCTGTGTGAAATACTCCTATTTATATTCCTACTCCACGTCTCTACAGGTGAAAATTCTCGTATCGCTCCCTATTGTACGAGGGCAATTTCAGGTAAAGGCACCTTCGCTTCAGTGTTGCTCTCCTAGTACTCAGGTGTGTCGTGAAACAGGTGAGTTCTACCTGAAGGTTTCAGGTGAGAAGAGACTGAAAAGGTGGACATTGAATAAAATGTATTTAATTAATTACAGATGTTTCAGGTGGAAAGTTATTAATTTGTTTTCTTTATTGACGCTTGTTTCTTGCTGCGTTTAAATATATTTTTAAATCAATATTTAAAAGTTAATACGTACCTACTTTCTTTTGTTTTTCAGCCAGGTAGAGGCCCAACCAGCTGAAACCATCATCGATCGTACCATTTGTTCGACCCGTTAATTTTCCGCGGGGAAAATTTTCGATAAAGTGGGGGAAAAGTACCAGGAGATCACGCAACGCGAAGAGGTTTAGTGACATTGTTGTAGGTCAGGGATTAGGGGACGAACTCAGGGAAGGATATTTAAATAAAATAATAATTTTCACACAGGGTCACATGAGCGTACAAGTGGTATCGTATAGATTTTTACAACTAGTATTCAAAAGGTTCTAGTTGTAGTAGAATATAGTAGTAAGTACCAGGATAACATAGGATAGTAGATGTTAATATTGTAGGATTTATAGTTGGAGTGGATGCTAATAATTTTCTTTTGTTCTTGTGATACGTTATTCTTTTGTTAGGATTATAAATAACTGTTACACTCTCTTTTGATTTCTTTGCCTAAAATTTTTCTTATTTATTGCCCATACTATCAAAATAATACACGTAATAAATATAAATAAATTTGTTGTGTTTTTAAAGTTATTATTAAAGGTTATTTATTTATTTAGGTTTATATATTTTTATTTATAATTTCATGTATAACACACAGCAGACAATATTACAGACTACAACACGTTACACATACATGAGGTATATAGGTACTGCAAATCCCGTAAGGAATTTCTTCCATGCATGAGATAGTTAATTAACATCCTCGCACACATTTGTAATTATCATTGTTAACACAGCACACGCAGGTGGTTGACTAACTTTGTCACCGCACAAGTACCAGGAACGCATACTTACTTGTAGCCATATTCGAGATTGTCGCCACATCCTCCCCACACCCAATCGGAGTGTAGGTTCCGTGGTCTGGCGGCGCGGCTACAACTACAGCTCGACAGACGCCCGTCGCGGCAAGCCCGGGACACAGAGAGCGACACCCCGGCCGATGTAATCGCGTGTGTGAATGCCGTTTCTCTTGATGCTGAGGAAAATAATGTTACCCATTACTTTTTATGGAGTGCTGGTACATACGAATTAAATGACAACTGTGACGTCCACGGTTTTCGATGCGGTTATTCTGTGGTTTTTATTTGTTTGTGCTATATTTTCCCATTATTTTTTTTCTATCGCGATGGAAATCTTCATGGACTTCCCGCGTCGTGAGGACGACGAGGGGGCGTGCCGGACTCTTACCGGCTAAAACCACCGCGGTGTTCCTTCACTGCCTGTGACCGTGACCCGGGTTGCCCTTACGGAATCACCACATCCGGCAGGCTTCAATCTACCGCTATGTTTGCGGCAGGTCCCGCCACTTTAGCGGCCCTAGGAGGCTGCTTCCCTTCTTCGAGTAGCGCGCGTGGAACACTACGCTACCGCCTACTCCCGCCTATATAGCTGACGTCTGACTCCCCCGGTCAGTCGCCCGCAGACCTCTCCTCTCATGGAGGTCGCAGATCGGCTGCCGCTTCACGGCGCTGACGACCGGCGCGTCTACGGCGAGAGGGGAGAGAACTTGACGCCTCTCTTTCCCTTTCAGCCGCTTCCTTTTCCAACATGACTTGCTCACAGAAGGAAGCGACTCCGTCCCATGCGCTCTCGCTGTCGACCATAGCTCGTACCACAGTCGACAGCGACAGATTACTCCCGCCGAGTACTGCAAAGAGTTCACGACGCGGCTCTGCCCATGCAGTACACTCTTCGAGCGTGTGCCGCGCCGTATCCTCCAAACCACCATCACAGTGATGACACGCCGATGTCTGCTCCCGGCCTATGCGACACAAGTACTTTCCAAAGCAGCCATGTCCGGTAAGTACCTGCGTCAACCGGAAGCTTAGGACACCATGTCCTCTGTCGATCCACGCCTCCATGACGGGACTTACCGCCGCTATAATGGCGTGCCCGTGCTATATTTTCCCATGACAAAGTTAAGGATAATCAATCAAGGCAATTTAATAAATAGCTGGAATTATTACGGGAATTAATAAATATTTGTTATAAAGTATTTTTCAAGTACAAACTATAGTTTAAAATTTATTTGTTTTACTTGTTGGACACCATTTACAGTTACGATCAAATAAAATAAAATATAAATAATAGTTTATTGTCACAATAAAAATCTTTAAATTAAGTAGGTATACCAATAAACACCTCATAGCTCTCCTCCACGTAAATTCGAACAGAATATCCTTTAGACGGCCTTCGATAGTGTTCGAATTTTCCCTAGACTAGAATATATTTTCTATCTAGCACAGTTAGGTCGGTGGGAACAGTAGCCATGTCGCCATAAATCACTAACTGTCCTACACGTCTTCCAGAAAAGATTTAGAGCTCAACTACATTACAGCACTGGTACAGTTCGAGCATTCAGAGAACAGCTCTTTAGAACAAAACAAGTACTATGTACACGGACGGCTACACATCAAGCGATACAAAGCCAGTTTATCATTGTCTTGTTTTGTATGATTTTTCTGCACATTCAACGGCGAGTTTATACTGGTTTTGCATAGCTCGATATTATAGTCGTGTGTACTAAGAAAATAGAGGTATGAAAACTTTATGCAGTGTTGTACATACACACTTTGAAATAGGGGTGTCGATAATTTTTGATCCTTGAATATCTGTTCACTGACAGATTTTTATCCAGTAAAGTCGGGAAAAGGTCGGGAAAAGTAAAGTTGATCTTTTCATCAATAAATTGTATGAGATTGGGGAAAAGAAGCATTTAAGCGTCGTGCCTAAAGATCTACATCTTGGATCCCTTGGAGAAAATAAATCACAATGTTTTGATATTGAAATGAAATAAATGTAAGCATAAAAGGAAATAATAGTTGTTGCCCTTTATAGCAGAATATATAGAGAACTGTGGCAATATAATACAATGAATATAACGTTGGCTAAAACAATATTCTATGTCGGCGACCGACGCTCGCGGAGCCTCAAAATTGTTTTTACGATATTTTTATTACGTCCTATGTCAATTTCTTTTGTTCTGTATAAAAGAGAATTTATTTCTATGTTTATCTTGATACATAGACTAGTCTGACTCTGTGACCTTGTTGCCAAGTTTTATTGGAAATAGATACACTATAAGTTTCTAAAGAAAAATAACGTTGCGATTATCTTCGTAAAATGAGTGTGAAGGAAGAATTTTGTGAAATTAATTTCCAAACTAACGTAAGTATTTACTATTTATGTAACTTCTAAGTACTTCTAAGGTATGGAAAAAGGTCTTAGGAAAACGAATACTAAGTAATAATTAAGGTCGTGGAACACTGTAACGGTACGACCACGGCACAGCTGCAGCACGGTGTTTCTGGCTTTAGAAAAGACAATAAACTCTGATCGCGGGCTGAGAACCCACCGTTGGCTTTTTGTATTGACGTGTTTACGACATACGATTTAAAGTTCAAATTTTAATGCCAAGTTAATAATAAGACTTCTAATAATAAGACATCTTTATTTGTCACTCACCAATCAAAGTCAAAGGTCCGAATACAGTTTCGTCCCCCGTCACAGTGCAGTTCCACCTTCTACCTTGGAACTGATACTGGCATTCAGAGATTCCCTGCTTCACTCCAGAACTGACAACTGGCATATGGTCTTTGTGACGTCGACACACTCGACGTTGGCCTGGCGTGAGGCCACGGAGCCGTGCGCAAAACCGGGACTTTTCTTTAAAGAGGTCTGGCTGGTTCGACCATTTCTCGAATTCTAGGAGACCCATGTTGCTGTAATGAGAAGAAATTGTATGGTTACTTTAATTGCTAAGTATAAATCGTACGAACAGTCTCGTTTATGTGACTGTCAATTATTATTATTTTGGTTAAGGGAGGTAGTAAATACATAACATACATAACTTCAAGTCTGTCGCCCATGCGGGTAGGATGAGACTATGGGACGTCAATTGCTACGATTCTTACATAAGTATCTCTTTCGCTTCATCAACAGTCAAATATTCAACTTCAAAGTACTACGAACTGTCTTTGGTATATCAACCCTCTATGGCTGAATAAGTTTAATTTTAATGTCCTTGAAACAATCTACTGCCTGTTATGTGACCTTCACTATGTCCATCATCTATTAGAACCGTCTAATTACAATTAATAACATTTATTGATCTACTATCTATGAATTCCAACCAGACACTTTACGACGGCGACGGCAGCGTAAAATACATTTATCATTCACCTACCAACCTAAGGGACTGAACATTGACAGAGAGTGCACAGCACTGCTCTCTGACAAACCTGAACTCTTTAAGTTTCGATCAGAATCTGCAAGACACTTGGCAACTGTGGAATCTATGGCAAATTCAAATTAAACTCAAACTCTGTATTTGCTTGTTAAGGTAATACATACAGGTCTTATGAAATAACAGGCACAGCTTAACGACCTTTTTCAGGCGTTGCAAATTTTAGGGGTCACCAGCTTATTAAAAATTACATTTGCTTAACATTTATCCATTTGTTTCAAACGAAGCCCATATTGCGATGGGCATTTGGTGTGAAGTGAGTTATCTTGTTTTAAATTGTCAAATAGATTCAAGTAAAGCAATAACAAATAATGGCATGAATCAATAACAGTTACTGGAAACTATTCTAATATTATCATTGTTCTAAATAAATACCTATGTAATAATTATACATCTCACAATACTTGGAACAAAATAATGGTCACATTTGACATTTCCATAACAATATGAGGAAAATACGTCAAACAGAATTGTTATCTTGTACCTACTAGAGATGTGTATTTGTTTGTTTATTATTGTCAGGCTGAGGACTCACGGCGTGATCTTCTCCCGCGCGAATGGAGGTGCAATTTTCAAAACTAACGAGGCCGCAATTTTCTGCGATCCTGTAGCCGCCGCGGTTGCCATTATGGCCTGCAAACTTAGCGGTTGATTATTACAAGACGGGCGGACGGTTAAACAATCAGTTGAGTTCCAGACCGGCCGTCCCATTGCGATCGCGATGCGACCACCGCGCCGGTGCAGCGGAAGCCGCATGACAATCGCAACCGCAACGGACATACGAGTAAAACGCGCCGTGGAAATTGCTTTGAATTTTTACATACATATATTTTTACATACTATTCTGGAACCGCGGCGGGCGAGAGAAAATCGCACTCGCAATTTAAAAGTATTCGGATTTTATAGCTGTATAGGAACAACGTAGTATCCATTCGTTTGTTTTGCTCAATATTGAATTGAAATTCTTCGCTTTATTCGATAACATCGTACCGTTAACAGGCTGTGTCTGTTTATTGGACTATGGGTGATATGCTTTCACTACATAACGACTTTGACGCAATCTCCAGAGATCTCTCATCTAGAGATCGCACCTTAAACGTTCAGGCTTATGAGAAAGCGTTGCTGTCAAACAAAAATCTAACAAAAGCTGCGGTAATTTTATAAAACTCATCTATTCGTCATCAGGTTACAAATTCTACGTTCTACAGAATTGTGACGTTACGTTACATATTTTCTTAACAGATAACAGTAAGTATATTGTTTCGCTTATCTTTTGTTGTTAAATGATTCATCAGTGTGTGATAGCTCACGTGTACAGATTGTGTATGATGTAAAACATCACGCTTTCTTTGAAAGAAATAAGATTAGAATAGAGTATGGTAGGCAGCGAGTCAACCTATCCTTTATACTATTGATATAAAGTCGAAAATCCAATGAATAATTTGACAGATTGCAGTAGGTTGATCTGCTGGCTTTATCTTAATACCCAAAGTTGTTATTAACTCAAAACGCAATTATTTGATAAACCTATAAGTCAGCTCGTCGCGCAGTCATAACTAGGCAACGTTATACTTACCACATACGGAATCCACTAGGGTCGATGCCTGCCAGAGTAAATGACGAAGCTGGTCATAATGCCGTAGCTTTGTTTTAGTTAGAACGGGGTGATTTTTAGTCAGCGAGCGTATCGAATTTTGCAAGTTTATAATTCTAATCGGACCTGGTTTTTGAATACAATGTACATAATACAATTCGACGTTTATTTAGAAATAGGTAGAAGAATACAAGGGTCCGTACAATTAAAAGAGGTTGGACAGCAGAGCTCCACTCTCTGATAAAGCTGAACATTTTGAACTACATCTTCAACCTACTTGTCACCTGTGGAAATTATGGCAAACCTTATGTAGAGAAGACTCAAAGACCAACAGTAGACTTACATTTTTTTATATTTATTAAGAGCGACACTATCCCACCTGGTGGTAAGCGATGATCTACGATGGAGCACGTCGTCCCATAAGCAACCTATTCATTCTGTCCTTGAAAACATCCAGGTGTACCCTTCAGGAAACACAAAGCAAATAATTCCACTCCTTACCAGCACGCGTAAGGAAGATTGATGAGAAGCGCTTCGTGCTGAATGTCGTAGTAGTGCCATGCACTTTTAATGTATTGTAACCATAATAAATAAAATAAAAAAAATTATTTATTGGCATACACTAATTAGATTACATGTAGGCATGGAAGCGAATAGCATTCACATAAACGCAAATACGGCAGAGGTTTCCGTGGGCCCCAAACTAGGCACAGCCTGTATCTTGGTGGCCCCGTGGTAAAGGCTTAGACTAGTTAGTTCTCGGGTCATGGTTGTGACACAGTGCAACTATATAACATAAAATAATTAACTGAAAAATAATAATAATGCGTTTTCATGTAGGTATGTAAGAAAGGCATACAAATATAAGTAAATAAGTGTGGTTGAATCCTTAACACACTTCTTGATACCTGTCAAGCGAGTAAAGATAAAACTGTCACAGCATTACGAAACTAATTAAATATTTTTTGTATGCAACGACCAACGTACTAAATGTTTGAACCGGGAAGTACCTACGTATGTTTGAATTCAGACACTGGTACAGATAAGCAAATTATAAGGTAACTTTGCTTCCTACAGTAAATTATAATACGTGTTTGTACAAGTGACAAGTTTGGTCATACTTCATGCCTCGAGGTTGAGAACATTTTTATTAAACAGCATTTTCTTGTTTTTTTTTTTTGGGGTGCGTAAATTATCCAATGACTTCTCCCGCTTTAGGTTAGGCGAGATGGAGTGTCAGACTCTTACTGACTAAAAACCACCCCGTTCCTCCTTCCGCGGCTCCGTATCGGGCATCAGCGCTTTTGGGCCCCATCTGTGGTGGTCTGATGGCTCTTTGAGGTGCGCGCGGAACGCGACACGCCGTACACACGGGTTTAGTTCTGGTCGGGCGGCGGTTACGGTGGCCGGAGGTCGTCCCGCGATCTCCGACGCCTGGAGTGTCTCCCGCGACGGCTGGGACGTAAGGAGGTTGGTACCCTCACGCGCCCCGCCTCCTTCTTGCCTAGCATGACTGCTTTGCAGAAGGAGGAGACTTACGTCCAGTTTCTGTAACATGAAGTGTGAGTCTTCTTCATGTCTCGAGATTAAGAACGTTTTTATTTAATAGCTCGTTTTAATCTGCAGGTATGGGCTACCTTTACAGAAGAAGGTCTGCCATAATCTCCACGTCTGGTGTCTTGGAGGTAGGAGTTTATCAGAGAGCGCTATCCAGTCTCTATCAAATGTGCAGTCCCTTTATCCCTTAGTCGGTTTTTATTATACCGGCGGGAGGAGTAGGGATGGTGCCAAAAAACTTGATCTGATCCTTAAAGAAAAAAATCTTCAATTTTGCAAAATTTTTTACTTTCATCCTAACAGAGCAGATTACGATCACATTTCTAATTGACGCCAAAATTCAGGCAAATGTTAGAGAGGTTGTCTTACAAGTTTTGAGAAACTCAACACTTTATTGTCATTATGTTGTACCTACCTCGTTACGTTACGTACATTAAGAAGAAGGACGGTTGGTTAAAGTATTATTGGATGTTTAGAATTTTCAGTAACGATCTACTTTATAAGACGTACTCCAGCTAGGTTAAGCGACGATATCCGCTAGGTTGGCAGTGGTGATCACAGATTGCAGAGGGCGCTCTGATTGGCTGGCTTCAATGAACCAACCAATCACAACGCTGAAAATATAAAACAAACTCCTACTAAGACGTCATGATGATGAAGGAAGATCGAGCTTTGTGGTGTATGGTGATATTGGAGAGACCTATGTTCAGCACTGGATGAGGGCTACTGATGATGATGATGACGTTGAGCTCTATGTGTGGCAATAAAGTCCTTACGAATATGAAATGTAACAGAAAAGAGAAAAATTAGCCTTATTATAGGATGAAACCTCTATTATTTAAAGTGAATAGTGCTCAAAATATTAATTCTGAGAAAAATATTTTATGAGTATTTTGATATGGTACACGATGAAGCATTAATTGTATTGTATTGTGGTTTTAGTTACGCCATTTATAAATCGAGATTAGTAGGTACAAATTTCACAAATTGATAAGGTGGTACAATTTGATAATGAAACAAAATCGTACTTATTAAGGTGCACTTTAATAATTTAACAAATTATAATAATAGTAACATTTACATTATAATACTGATCAGTAATTTAATACAAAACAATGGCTAAGAAAGATAAGTAAATATAATTTCATTCGTTATTGTACAATGCTAACTTTCCCGCGTAATTATTAATTTATCGTTTAAAATATCGACTAGTATAAAATTTTACGCCAAACTTTTCAGATTTATTTACAAGTAGAATTATTAAAAAAAATTGTAAATGAAAAATAAAAAAAAGAATTAAATTAAGCAACACGATTTTTGAATAA